ATGCAGGCAGAGGCGAGGAAGATGGCTTGAATGGTGTGGACGGAATGAAGATCCCACGCTGGACCGGAGCTTTGGACTTTCAATTCGTGCTGCTGGGCTTGCAACACCACGGGATCTTTCAAACCCGAAACAGGAGCCGCTCTAGGCGCGTTAGGTGCTTGACGATGGAGTCATAAACTGAGGGATGCCATCGAGAACGGCCCGGAAGACCATAGCACTGGTGGACAAGAGTTGTACGCAGAGAGGATCTCGACGGCCCCAAAAAGGTCCCTTGATTCGCTGCACTGGCCGAGATCTCGGTATCGAGCCATTCAGGGCCGCCAGAGCAGGGGGAAACACCAATTGTCTTGGCGACAAGGGACTCCAAAGACCAGACAGTGCAGATATCGTCGCCTTTTGCCAGATTTGTCGTATTGCCTTTGCGACTCCTTTTTTCTTGAATGATGTGGAAATTTTGATGGTCATCATTTCCTTTTTCTAATATTTGTTCGATGATGAAAGTTTAGACTGCATTCTTATTCTTGACATCCTCAAACAGACCGACACTTTATTTATGCCACACCCCACGGGGGGATCCCAATATTCAATTTTGTGCTTAATCCATTCCATGCGGTTTGCGTTGCACGGAGTGCGTCAAAGCGGCCGTGATGTTTATCACTTTATCTTCATGTCGATCTGGCGTGGCAGGTGTAAGTTAAAATTCAAGCTTACTTTGAATAGAGTCAAACCGCCGCGCAATATGTCTTACTCTCGCGTCACTCCCAGAGGCTCAAGCGCAATGCGAACATAGCATGGCGGGGAATGGACGCGCAACGCAAGAAATCTAAGATTTGTGCCATAGGTAGATTCGTCGTCTGGATACACAGCATATACAGCGTGCGCGTTTCTTGCCAGCTTGTGCAGGGATATCGTAGACAGTAGTGACGAAGCAGAGACGATCATTGTCGCCAGACTGATACACGCCTGGATGCAACTTGCGTGGTCATTTTATGCTGTCGTGGCAGCTCCTTGGGATCCAAAGTATCATATTGGGCCTTTCAGGCTCAAATCTTCGAGCATGAAGCAATGCCGGGAAGTAAACCGGGATTTTGGAATTGTAGAGGCACGTTGACCGGATAAGCACAATTCCATATCCGATGTTAGAGCCGCAACGACAGACAAGTGCCAGACCGGTCGCGAGCCGCGGATTTGCGGATGAAAGGATATGCTTTATCACGGCTCTCGCGTATCAACATTAACCAATCCGAGTCAAGAACCGGGACTCTGGCAAGACTCTTGATTCGCATGTGTCTGTAGTTGGGGAGGGGAGGGAAAGTTGATATTTGATATGTTCAATTGCACTTGTCGGGTTATGAGGGTTAATGCATGCTGGCTTCTTCTGTTGGTAAAGGTTGCCGTCGTTCCCGAGCGACTCCAATTAACACCTTGAGCCGCTTATCCTAGTGGATGTCGATGCTGCCCTTGCCCTGGGCAATTGCAGTCTCAACTAAGCCACCACTTTACTTGTCCCTTTTTTTATCCTTTTAGCCAGACGGGTCAAGCTTTTTGTTACCCTCTGGCGCAGTTAGTTAGAGGAGCAAAAAGCCTATAATTAAATTGCCCAGGTCCCGTTTCATGCCTTCAGGTCAAGCCTCTCAGTCGACTCAGGCGAGGCGGTTAAGTGGAGACGCATGGGTGATGCGCCGCATTGTGCTGTTGTCCACTGTCTGTATGCAAAACCCTCGGCTTGCGTGGGGTAGTAGTTTTGTGCTGGACGAGGCAGTCTAGTCGGGTCTGCTGGGTTCCGTAAATTGACTTAGGATGTACTGCGTAGGCTTAAATTGGAGCAAAGGCACGCGAGCTGGCTGACATGGCCCCGAGGGCGTTGAACTTTGACATGGGATCGATGAGCAATTGAACTGCACCGCCAGTTGCTGCTTATGCCGGGCTTGTTCTTTGCTGGGCAGGGCGAGACAGGGCTGAGTAGAGGCGCGGGATTATTGACTGCTGGCGCCTGGCTCAGGAGACAGCGAGAGGCGGTTGATTTGCTGAGGACAGAAACACGAATGCTTCATGTGGATATCCATGATACGTGGAAGATCGTCACAAAGGGCGAGCACAACTGCTCGTGGAATTGACCGCTGTTCCTGATACACTGCTCGATGATGTAACTGTATCAGTTGATGAGCTGGAGTTTTTATGATTTTCGTTGTGCAGCGTCACGGATCGCTATCTGAAAAGTCTTGGCTGTAACAGGGTCTCGGGCAGATGGTCGCTCTGGAATTACATGGGGGTCGAGTGCTGTTGATGCCGATGCACGTTGACGAGACAAGATCTCAACAGACCAGATTTCGAGACAGAGATTTCGTTGATCCTCTGCAGTACTACCGGAGATGCAATAGAAACGTTGCAACAAGGTTCTATATCATGCAAAGTATGGTAAGCAGAGTTCATGATGTTTCAGCAAGTTGCTCATGATGTTTTGAACCAGACCGAAAAAAATAAATTGAATGCGCGCTTACACCAACATCGACTGGCGGTGGAGCTTATGCAGGTGGATGATGGTTGGCTCTTGCAGTTGGAGGAGAACGATGAACCGCTCTCTCAGGGACCCCAGATGGGGAAAGAGAGCCCAGGACAAGGCCACTGGACCAATCAGACGACAGTAAATATGTCGCCGAATTGCTCGCCGAGGCTTCTCAACAGGTACGGTACTACGTTGGTTTGATGGCACCTGCGCCGTCATTTGACTAGTGAGGGACGGGAGTAAGGGAATTTATTATCTCGATGATTATTACGTTAAGATATCAGGGAGAATAGAGCAATCTTGAGATAGCACAGCAGGCACAGACAGTATGTATGTTCCTTGGGCGGCAAAACAAGCTATTATTAGGGCCGGTGCTTTTATGCTTAGAGATGCTGCAGCTCTAGAGCTCAAAGGGCAGCTGCCATGCATAGTACCGTGCAATGAATTCCATCCGTCAAGGAGCCAACTAATAACACGCGTAATGATACAGGTAAAATATAATAATTATTAGAATATTCTACAGAATAAGAGAGCTTATTATGATTTGGATCATCTTATATAAAGCATAGTAGAGAATTGTCGAACTTTTGCACACCCACTGTAAACAAGCGGCTCAAGACAGGGAGAGCCAGGCCTGTCTCTGGCGTCTGGCTCCAGAGACAGACAGTGAAAAAAAAGACTGGGTCGCAGTGGAGGTAACTTCGCTGCTTCGGTCATCGTGAAGGGAACAGTGAAGCCAAGCTTTTCCTTTTCCTGTCCTCGCATCTCCTGGCCTTGGGTAAAAGCCGATTCACTTCACCCACTGGGTCGCATAAGATGTGGATTTTCTTGTTAGCTCACAGCTGCACTGAGTAAATGACGCACTGTGCTCTGCAGACAGGCACTTGGCAGGGACCTACGGAGCAAAAAGGGACCAGTCGAGCCTCGTTTATCTGTCGAAGGGATCCATAGGAGGGATAAGTCCAGAGAATGAGCTTTGATTCTGCTGATGGAGAAGAGAGGCTCGGGGAATAAGCATCTCTCATGTTGCTATTGAAGCATCTGATCGTTCTGAAATCTCACACTTGGATCTACAACACCTCAGCTACCTACCCCCACTCACACATGAACCATTCTTTCACCTCTGTCCCAACCCGAGTTATAAAGAGCCAGGCATGCCAATGTCAATCGTTGGCTTGCAGGCAAATCCGTCAAGTTGTGCTATGCATGCATGTGTACAACCCTCACAATCCATACTGTACCATAACTAGTACATATGTATGGCCTAAACATCGTCAAGCACCTCACTCATCTCAGTTGTATCCGCACGCCCCTCCCCATGGCCCTTGTCCCATCCATATCCACACCTTGACACCCCCGGCCGAGTTCCCCACGTCGACTTGTGGTCCATCTTCAAGCCAAAGACCAGGAAAAGAGTGGAGGGTTCTTAGTTTGGTTTGGCTCTGGTGGGCTGGGGATGAGATGTGAACTGTGAAGGGACCGAATAGAGTACAGCAGCCGATGTGCTTCATTCATAATAAATGTAAAGACGAGCTGCGCGCTTTTTTTGCTCGTCTCCTTATTCCAGCTTCCTCCCCTTTATATCTCTGCTTTCCCCGGAAGACAGACAGTCAGACAGACATCTTGGTTGTTCTGCCTCTTTTTTGCTTCACTATCACGGTTATAATTATTCGGCTGCTCTTTGATGCTGCCCCGTCCTCATCCTCATATTCTACTCATACTCCTACGACCAGCTCGGCCGTGACCTCCCATGTCAAGACACTCGCGGAAGATCTTACAACAGACACCGCACTGGAAGAAACAAGAAAACACAATAATCAATACTTAATTGAAGACCGAGACACGGACATCGAATCCCCTTCCAACACCATTTGCCGCATCGACAATTGGTCCAGACTTACACGGACACGAGATCTTGATCAACTCAGTCAACTCCCCCCGGCCACATACATCGACCGTTAATAATTCTATCACTTGTCAGCTTTTTTTGACCCAAGGCACAAGACATCTTGCTTCCGATTTGAACGCAACGCCATTCAATCACGATATCCTTCCTCCAACCTCCCGGGACAAAACGCCATTTGCAAATCTTTGCCAGTTATCTCGCTGCAAAGAAACTCGGTATTGCCGTGGACTTGTTTCTCGCATTTTACCGACGGACCAACCACGACTGCAAGCCACTCAGCGATCACAGTAGTCGCTGAACCGTCTCCATCACTCAACTGACCCCAAACTTGGATGGTGTGTGGCCCTGACTTGTTGGTTACTCGCCTCTGTAAGTGACCAGCTGCAGCCCCCAGTCGACGGCCCTGAATTCCTGTACCTTTGGCGTCACCTATACACCGAAGCTCAGTACCCCTCTCGACCACCAGCGCCATTCACTGCAAGCCCCCGTCGAGATAAAACAGCAGAAGCGCCCTCGCTATTTCCCAGCGACTTAGGACCCAAGACCCAATAGATACTCATTATGGCGGCACTCTCGGCCCCTAGAACAATGCTAGCACCCCACCAGCACCAACCACAGGGCAGCATGCTCGACTCAGCAGCAACAGGTATGGAGAATCTCTCGCTATCTTTGTCTTCTGTCATCAATTCATTCAGTCATTTCCATTTTTGTCGTTTATGATTTGCCTCTATCTATTTCCCCATCGCCCTTACCATCCATCCATCCATCCACCTCCCCGCCCGACCCAGGCCAGGCCAGGCTCCTTCAAGCCAAGCCTATTATTTCCCCTTCGTGTTTCCTTTGATAATCAAGTCGATTCATTTCCCTCCTCCTCTTCTCCGCTTTTTGCTTTGCAATGCTCATTTCGTCATTCCCGAGTCCACTGGAAGCGAGAAGTATCTCCATTTCGGTGCCGTGGACTGTGGATCCTTGCGAAATTCGAGCAGTGACGCGATAAAAACGTGGGCCTTTACATACTTTGCTTAGCTGGATCGGCTTTGGGCGACGGCTTCTGTAAGTGGGTTCGGTGAGAAGACATTCGATGCTTCAGAGTCAAAGCCAAAGCAAAGATCTAAGGCTTATGCAGTGTTGGACTGGAACCTGCATTCGGCCGAGCCTTTTCAGACGATTCTACTTGCCCGTTTATTCCCCGTTTTCCCATTGGCAGGCAGTTCTGTCATAGTCTCGCCTCTGGCCCTGTGCCTTGCTAGGCTGAGCTCAACTTGACAAATTCATGACAACCTTTCCATCACTCAGCCTTGGCATGACATTTGGGGGTTGATCCCCGTTTAATTCCCTGACCTTCATCACTCGTTCTTCATCTTCCTCCTGCTCTCCCTTCCACTCTCTCTCACGTTCCATTCTATTTCTGCCTCGTGCACCCTCCCCCGGTCGGTCCCTTGTCTTGACCCATGTCAACCCGAAACCCTGTATACATCCTTCTCCAAGCTTTAAGTCATCCTTGCCTGCTGACGTCTTTTTGCTTGTGCCCGCCACAGATAAAAGTACCTCAACCTCTGCCTTTGCTTTGCGCGCAAACCAGTTTCAAATCGCATCGTCGCCTCGCTATTCCTCTACCGACCTTACTGAATCAATTGTCCTAGAAGAAGGTGGTGAATCCGGAAGCGAATCTGCTGCCGAACCCGTCACTCCCACCAGCGGCCGTCAATCACAAGACTTCACCCTCCAGAGCCAGGACCTTCAAGACCTACAGAGCATACAGTCTTACCAGCCTGGTTCAGTTACATCCTCGGGCGTTGGGCCTATTGCAATCCCCGGTGCCAACTCAGGAAACACAAACAAAGCAGCATACCTGTCACAGTCTGCAAGCCGACCTCCCACCGCCTACGAGCCTACTACCCCAAGGGGTACAGAACCAGAGCCAGGTAGCTCATTAACCCGTCAATCGACTCGTGGATCTATCTCCACCGCGAGCTTCAAACGCACCATGTCGAGCCTCTTCCGCCGATCAAATTCCCAAGCCAAGAACGACTTCACTCCTCCAGAATCAACAACACCTTCGGTCGTATCTGCACCCACCGAGCCCCAGACCAATGGCCAGCCACGGGCTGCCGCTCGTCGTCGTTTCTCCATGAACCGTTCCTCCGCCACTACTCGTTCCAACTCTCCCCCTTCACCCAGTGATGGTGGTCTTGAAATGGCTCCAGCGCACCGCGAACATGCCTCTGACAAGTCTCTTCCCAACCGAGGCGACTTCAAGAAGAACCGTGCCTCAACTGGATTTGCTTTCCGCAACCGGGCAATCAACTTTGTTGGTGCAAACAACCAGACAGGAGGTCGACATGAGCGTCCTGAATACGCTCGCCGAGCTAGCAGCTATGACGGCAGCCGCCCTAACACCCCTCTACCCCCACCCGCAGAAGGCGACGAGACTATGTATCCGCCTGAACGAAGTGTTTGGCCTCTTCCTCCTGACTCCGGCACTGGCGCCAAGGCTCGACGCATGAGCTTGAGCCTGCCAGACGATTTCGCTGTCGACATTGCCGAGTTGCAGAACGAGTTCGAATATCAGCGCAAGTTCCTTGGCCGACATGGAAAGCACCTTGGCAAGGGAGCTGCGTCCAAGGTCACCCTGATGATGCGCAAGGGCTCTCCAGAAGAGCTGTATGCCGTCAAGGAGTTCCGTGGAAAATCACACCGTGAGAGCCAGCAAGATTACGAGAACAAGATCAAGTCAGAATTCAGCATTGCGAAGAGCTTGCACCACCCCAATATCGTCGAGACCTTCCGCCTTTGCACTGACCATGGGCGTTGGAACCACGTTATGGAATACTGCTCTGAAGGTGATCTTTTCAGTCTTGTGCAAAAGGGTCACCTCAAGGGTGATGACCGCAAGAAGGACCGTATGTGTTTGTTCAAGCAGTTGATTCAAGGTGTTCACTACTTGCATGCCAACGGTATTGCCCACCGCGATATCAAGCTTGAGAACCTTCTCATCACCAAAGATAGCAAGCTTAAGATCACCGACTTTGGTGTGTCGGAAGTCTTCTGTGGCACCCACCCTGGCCTACGTGAAGCTGGCGGACAATGCGGCCGTAACATGAGCGGCGAGATTCGCCTGTGCTCACCTGGTATCTGTGGTAGCGAGCCTTATATCGCCCCTGAAGTCCTTGCCAAGGAAGATTCATACGATCCTCGAGCTCTTGACGTATGGAGCTCTGCGATTGTCATGATTTACCTCACCTTTGGAGGTGCTATCTGGTCCCGTGCCCAACCCGGTGAACTCCATTACGATAAGCTTGTTAATGGCTGGAACAAATGGTACACGAAGCACCCAGAATGTGACGCGAGTATTACCGATACCGATTACCCCAAGTGTTACGCCCTCGACATCGGCATTTCCCCGCCTGCTCTTCGTCGCCTTGTGCTACAAATGCTGAACCCCGACCCCAAGAAGCGTATCAGCATCGACGGTGTTGTCAACAACCGCTGGCTGAAGAACGTTGAATGCTGTCAGCTCGAATCATACGACGACCCAGCCCTACTTATCGATGCAACCAAGAAGGACAACACTATCAACAGTAACAAGAAGATCTTCTGCCACAACCATCTGCCACCGAAGGGCACTGGTTCCCACTCGCTGGGCAAGATGCCTGGCCAGGCGGGATACTAGGCGACGAATAACGAATAACAGAACAGCATTTGGAATGCCGTATAACCATCATACAAACATTTTCCCTTGATTACACACGAGGGCGTTGGATGGCGCGCCTCATTATTCTTGCATGCACCTATATCGGCGTTGGGGTCATTTTGACCATGGACGAAGGGGCAGGCCCGCATGGTCTGGAGTTTGTGAATTTACTGTCGTTTCTCTTCTTCTGACACTGCAAACTGTACATAGTATACAACCTTGTCCATGTATGTGTCTGTCGGGTCATGATACACTGCAACCGGCAGGGACGGAGGACCTTTTACAAGCAAGCAGACTTAATACCCCTTTACAAGACAGTCTCTTGTTCTTTTGGAAGTCTGCGGATGATGGACATACAACATGCCACTGGTCTGCGGATGGATGTACAGAGAAGCAGGGGTGGAAGGATGACTATTGGGGTTTATCAATTCACTGTCTGATTGCTTCTCACGTTTTTTGGATGCAAAGATGCGCGCACCCCTTTTGAAGATTGCTTATTGTTACAAGTATTACTTACATATACGTACGTATGTATATCTGGGCTTCTGGGCTTGCTGCGATGGTGCGGTGCTTCCGCTGCCATTTGCTACCAGTCTTTTCTGCGAGATAGCACAATAGACTTGCATTCTTTGATTCAAAACATTGAGCCTCGGCATCTCGGAATCTTGGGATCTGAGGATCCATAAAAGAAGGCCCGTCTTCGGGACGACTTTGCGCTGTCACCGTGATGCTTGACGTTGTTATCAGGTGCTTTGACCTCCTTCAGATAGCGATGATCGGTTATCAATCGCGTGACAGTTAAGTCAGAGCGTTGTTAATCTAGATGAACCAGGATAACTAAAAGATCTACTAGACTAGAAGCATTATGGAAGCACTCGCTCCCTTGGTTATCGTAGCACTTTGTATCGTATGTCGTACTTTTAGGAATCACGTTCACCACGGTGTCTCTCTATCCGGTCTCGATCCCTTCGTGCATGCATGGCTTGTGAAGAACGTATGCACATCAAATTGTGGCGTGCTGCATACTGGGCGTTTTGGGTGATACATATCCCAAGCACTGGGGAAAACATCCCACGCGATATGCAAGCATGTCTCACCACAATTCAGTATTAGCCGGCGTCGAGAATTACCAAGGGCGATGTCGGAATGAGCGATTGGATTTGAACCAGGGCTGTGGGAACTACTGTGCTGATTAAGAAAGATAACTCTAAATAACACGAGAGCTTGATGGACTTAGACTCAAGGTGAGGCTTCGGGATGACGTTGACTATTGTGTTAATACACAGTATAGACAAGAGGGTGCGAGGCTGGGAGTAATGTTTATATCAGCCTCATTGTATTCATTAGTAACGTGAGTTTCCATTGTGGACTGTTGGTTCTGGGCACACAGTATGTTCCAGGTACCTGGCTAAGACTGAAGCTGTCATTGAGGTTCAACTTGGACATATTCTTGGTTCAAGGTTGAGACATGATAATAAATCCCCCACGTGGCTGAGTTTGACCGAGCTGAGTCTGTTGTTACTAATCACATGGAAATGTGCTTCAAGTTATCAAGTAGTAAAAATATTAAGACTCACCTAGTCTTGAAGCTCTAGACGAGTGACCACAACCATCACATTCTAGTTATATGCATGACTGAGTCTGGAGCTGATCACCCGCATGACCCCTACTAGTTTACCGCTCATCAAGTCCTATTCGTTCCATGGTGTTGCACCTGAGTTGATCCTACACTCAGCAGGGCATATAAACTATTCAATCTAATGCACCACCACGGAAATAACGTGCCGAGCAACAAACTGGTCCGCGGTTCCCAAGCAATGAGGCTTACTTCGACCAGTATATGTCACTATCTGCCGCGTCTACCGCCCCAGTTCTCCCCCTTGCACCGAATTGGGCACACCGGTTTTTGGTCTCGCTCGGATATAGATGCCGAAATCAGGGGCGGTTGATTCGTGCCCGCATTCACCGTGGGGGGAGGCTTTTTATTTATTTATTGTTTTTTCCTGTCTTGTACGACGACGGAAAGATGACGATGGAGAGGTTTGATCTTCTTCCCTTTGTCCTGATGTAACGCGAAATACGTAGGGAGAAGAAGAGGTTGGATGGGTGGGCGTGAGGATAGAATAGATGTGGGGGAGGTGAAGTTTGAGAAGCCTCACGATGTTGGGAAAACTGACCATTTGGGCTAAGTCATATGGGCTTAAAAGACAGAGATACTTGGGCAGACTCGGTATAAACAGGGCTAAAGTTTCCCTCATCTTTTTCCCAATCCCATGCGTTAAATGATCAAGCCTCTTCACCCTCAGAGCAGATACATAATCAGTACTTTTGGCTCTTAGTTAAGGTGTAGGTGGGACATAATAAGGGAGCGCGCCGTGCCGTGCACTCTAAATAACGTAATGATAAAATTCGTACACCTTAAGTTTGTACGAACTAAAGTCTAAAGCTTATGCTTTAATCATCGAGGTACGGAGTACATTCCGTGGTGACGATGTCGATATGCCGAGACGGCCGGCGTTTTATGTGGAGACCGGCCGGAGAAGGATCCGCTTTACGTCGGCCCCGAGATTGCTAATTTTATAGACTTTTGTCTTCACTAGGCTTCGCATTGGAGGGGAATCTATATGATCTCTTAGTCAATTCTCCCAGAACTCAATTCACGTTGGCATTTAAGAGCCTCAAACCTCGTTTATACAATACAATTTGCCGTGTCCACTAATAGCCCCATGTCGTCTCCCTGAAACCATGGTCGGAACTTCGGAAGCCAACTACAGCCCGGCTCCAGTTCCTTAATTAAACCTTATTAACATCTAAGCTTATTGCTCCTTGTTAAACGTCTCCCATTCTTCTGGAAAACGTTTCAGATACACTGACACTATATCGTTAAACGTAGATACAATAATTCCTCCAATAAGGACAGTGAATTGTGAGTGGAATACCGAGTTACCATGGCCGAAAGTGGGATGTCTTGTCAACTGCCGTTGGGTAACAGGGTTACCAATATGGTTCTAAAACGGAGCCTCTGCCGAACAACCCGATCGAGAATGCTGGGAGTTAATATATATAGTAAGGCATCGCTTCGTGAGTTTGGATTGTTCCTTTATATCTCATCTCGTCTTTTGGTTACTACTGGATAGTATTGATTCACTTCTCTGTCACTCTTTCATCTATTCTATTACTCTATTTCTGTACATATCGCGTCTCTTTCACGATGCATACCGCTACGTTCATCACCCTTCTCGCCTCTGTGGTATCGGCCACTCCCTACGGCCACCGTTTCGACACCCGCGCTGAGACCTGTCCCGTGGTCTTCGACGGCCGCGTTCCCTCCAACGCGTCTCTGACCGACTTCGACAAGGAGAATGGTGGAGGCTGGAACCCTTACAACCCAGGCTTCGTCAAGGGAAACAACATCACTTGGTCTGAGATTCTCAAGCTGCCCAAGACCAAGACCAGCTCCCGCTTCGATACTGCAGAGGGAAATCTTCCTCTCGAGGTCACCATTAGCGATGAGAGCATCTTCATGAAGCAGCTCGGCTTCAGGCGTGCGGGTCTGCAGTTCAGCAAGGATACCAACGAGGGCAGCCCTGGTGCTAAGGGTGTCAAGACTCTTCACTTTAGTATCATGCAGGATGCGAGCCGGCCTCTCAACCTCAGCCACGAGTACTTGGTGAGTTACCATGGAGCTATACTTACTGGTACGTGCTAACAGATATAGAACGTCTGGCATGAAAAGGCCGATTTCTCAGGAAACCAGTTCCAGTTCCAGACCGGTACCCTCATTGGCCAGAAGCTCAAGGCCAATACTTGGAAGCTACTCGACCAGCAGAACAAGCTTCTCTGGGAGACCCCCATGGTCAAGGGCAAGTGGCAGAACTTTGCCATCACCCTCGATTACGAGAAGAAGTAAGTCCCTTATTTATTTGAGTGAGCAAAGAGCGTAACTGACTGAAACAGCACTATCCAAATGTACTACTCCGAGGGTTGCAAGCGTCTTAAGGCTGCTACTGAGCTCATCTCTCGCGACTTGAGTGGTCAGGGACAGTACCAGATCGGTATCCTCAAGAAGCCCACTGGCACTGATGATGTTGCCAATGCTGGCTTCCAGGAGAAGAACTTGAACGAGGGACTCATTTATGGTGGAATCTTTGTTGAGGACAGCAAGAGTGGTTGTGTCTCTCTTTAGACTTTGGCTTGACATCTATCCTATAGCTGTTTTGTGACGGGGACGGGGGACTGTTGTGTCCGTTAATTCGGTTCTATTATACAATACAATACACACAAGCATTTTCCGAGTTCCATCTCTTCCCTCCATTGTAGCGCCGTGAATAATAATAAAAGATTGTGTCAAATTAAAACACCCCTGGCCATCACTTCTTACAACCATTGTGGACTTCGATAGTAACTCGTGGGAATTGAGAGCCTACCCCGACGAGGGTTTCAGATGTATTGGAAAACGAGGTTTGTAGCCGCCGAAAAGGATACTTTTGGACAATAGGCTTTTCCATGCGATGGGCGTCCGGTTCGCAGATGTTAGATACATCCGTGTCATCCATCGTATTGAGGGTAGCATCGGTTTTGGTGCTTTAGATTGGTCAGTCAATAAATAAGAAGATCATTTTATATGGAAGTACCTTTTTCTCGGTCTACTCCCCCCTTGGAGGAGCGAACTGATCTGCATGACTACTGAGGACCAGTGGTTGATGATATTCCTAAAGGAGATGTAAATAAGTAGTTGTGTAGTTTTGTTCTATTTTACTGTCTACTTATACCTGGTTCAACATGTCGTAATCGTGTTTGGATGTGTACACGGGACACAGCATGAGCAAACACATCTTGTATCCGACATACACTGGCTGCTGAGGGTTACCACGGTTGATATTACAGCCTATCGCATCTTTTTTAGCAGTCGTTGCTCGTGGATGCTTGCAGGACAACACAATTGCGTGCTCTCAAGCCGAAGCAAAGAAGTTCCTCATACCAAAACTCTTCCTTTCTACATCGCCACCTTTTCTCTTCTTCTCCCTCTCATCCTTGATCTTCCAGAACAAACTCCCATCATAACATGCCCTCAGGTCACTCTTCCGTACAAGGCCATTCTTTTGCAGGAGCACATACGTAGTCCACCACTCCATAGCCGCAAAGGTCCATCCCGCTGGATCGGCTGCACATCTATCCTTGGCCCACAATCTCTTCAGATCATCCGCCGTGAGACCACCTTGGCCCGCAGTGTCGAAACGCTCAAACATCTGCTCGAACCTCTCCTGGTTCAAGTTCCCGTCAAAGTCGTATATCCCCGTGTCAGAGCCGTGCTTGGCCTTGTGGATGTCATTGACGTAGATACGGAACATGGGATCTGGTATCCAGCTGTGGCCGAGGCGAGTGGGGTAGGAAAAGAAGATGGGGATTAGGAGTGAGCCTATCGCGAAGAAGAGCCCGAAGCCGAGCTCACGGAAGCCACTGTAGACGTCCCAAGGATGGATGATGCCGTCATTATCGCGGTCCCAGAACTGAACGTGTTTTTGGAGAGGGCTGAGCTTCTCGTCTTGAGACTCGCAGACTTTGGAGTATATACTTCCATTAGAATGGCCATTGAGTCCGTTGGGGGAATTGTTTGTAGACATGTTGACATCTACACTACGCTCAGTAGACAATGAATGATGTTGCAATGACTTTGATGAGAGAATACAAATGACTTTGAATGTAAAGTGGTAATAGAGATTAAGGAATGGATACATATCATTATGCTGTGGCTCACCAAAAGATACTGTTTACGACCTATTGACGTAATTGCGAGACATGTGAGCCCATCGCTTCAGCATGTGATTCTACGTACCCAATTCTGATATCAATGATCCGCTGATAAAAGCATTCACGATAGAAAAGCAATAATAAATATAAAAGAAAAGAGAAGAAAAGAAAATACTGCGACATTTCTGCAGGTTTGATCCAAGAATAGTCAGACGTTTACCACACCAGCCATCAACAATATGCTTAAATCAAGCTGAAAACAAGGAAATCACCTAACACAATGTTGTTCAGTACTATCAGAGATCAAACGCATCAATTGTTCAAAACTAAGCCGACATCACTATACTCCTGCGTGAACTTCCATACAAGATTTCCCTTCCATGGAATCTTAGTCCACTCAAAACCCACTTCACGCTCATGTTCTGATACAACAACTCTTTTTACCACCGACTTTTCGTCATCAAAAGTCTTGGTACCGATGTATAAGCACTTTGAGCTAGCAACTGATAGAGGCGGTTGCATATGATCAAGGCGGAATTTCCCAACGCAGGCCTGTTTGCCGTCGGTATATCGGAACAATATCCCAGAAATATTGCTTGTATCTTGGCCCGATTGCTCCTCGCAAACAACAATTTCTTCAACGTTCTCAAGAGAAGCTTCTGAGCAACCAGCTATACCTGCTTCTGCATCTTTTCCTACACAGGCTGATAGGTTTTCTGGCAGAGAATCGCTCTCACTCCCATCCACAGTTGAAGCTGCGATAAAAGATACACCCTCTAATCCAGGGTTCAAGAACACGCACATTGTAGAACATGTAAGCGTCTTGGTGATGCACTTCCAATCTTGGTGTGATGTGCTACTTCTCCCCATCTTCAGTATTCGAGAGTGGTTGGTTATCATCTAGAAACAGTCAGCTTCGGGTTCAAAATCATGCCAAAGTTTACACATCTTACAGCTATTGCAGTTCCCGTGCAAGGCTTCAGCTCAAGAGGCTGTCTTGATTCTTCAGACCAGGCACTCTTATCATCTGCCTCATATCGTGCACTCAACCAAATCTGCTCAACATATTCTCCGGGGTTCAAAGGGCGGTAAACCCAATAAGGCGCCGACTTCGACTCAACTGCAGGCCATCTCGTTTCTTTCTCCTCCTCCAGCTCGCGGTAAAAGTCCAAAGTCTCCCAAGACTTATGCACGTGAAGGTCAACGAGCCTTCCCTCAAACCAGCACGTGGAATATCCCGTCGTATAAGGCTCGTTAAAGTATAAGGCTTCCATTCGAGCTTCATCAACCTTTCCAAAGTCCGACGACGGCTTTTTGATAGCGAAGTAAGCTGTATTTTTCAAGACTGCTGGTAGCATGGGACATGGCCAGGAAATGTTTGTCAATGGAGATGCTGCAAACCCCCGTAACTTGAGGCCCTGTTTGATGTTAGGGACTGTACAAACCAGATGGCATGAGAGGACTTACATCGCCATAGAAAGTAACCTCGGTGCTGGTTATTGGAAGCGTACGCCACCATCCCGAGTTATTCTGCTCCTCATGAAACAGATCTGTAGAGTCATTGATGACTTGCCGGACACCCACATGATCCTCAGAAATATACAGAAAATTCTTCTCTCGCTTGCTTGGAGCGTCCCATAGCAGTCGGCTGCCTGGCTTTGGTGTGTTCGACAAATGCGCGATATATTCAACGCCATCGATACAAAAGCAATCCGCCCATACGCTCTTCAATGGCTCGATCGTGCATGCACCGGGCAGAGAAGCACGAGGCAGCGAAGCAATCGCATAGGGACGAACAAGATACTTGTTCACCATGAATAAGATCTCATTCGGGAGAATGGCAAATTCCCTGCTTAAGACCTGTTGTAAGTGGTTTGTGATCCACTCCCTTCGTCGTTTATCTTCCTTGATCGACGGATCATAAAGATACCGAACAACTTCTAAAAAGTCGTTCTTCTTGAGACCAAAGCTCGACGCAACTGTAGAGCACTCAACATGGTACCCGATTGAAGCACATGATCTATGATTACTCTTGCATCGCCCAAAGGTTGCGAGTAATTTACTGTCATTGAAGGCGTCGCCGAGTGCAAAAGCCGATGACTCGTTACCTCCAAATGATCCTACACTATAGTTAGAATCAACTCCGTGTTCGAATAAATTGGTGCTTACTGGCAGTAATAACCTCTCCTGGCTGAATCATAAAACGACACCATCCACATCGACGGCTGACGCAGTAAGAAGGGTAAGGTATCAGAGGAGGAATGGCGTTGATATAATTCAAGTCCTGCCACTCCCACTCTTCAGCGAACTCGAACTGCTCCAGATCCATGATTCGATTGATTTCTTGAATGCTGAGTCCTCCAGCCCCGTTCATGACAAGACAACCACGAGAAACATGACGGATGGGCTCTCACTGACGTGGAATACTGTGCTGCTTATGAGCTGAGCCGAGCTGAACAGCCTGAAGTCGGATAAGCCTTCGTGTCTTGGAATCACGTGGCATCATCCAGCCAGGTAGTAAACAACTGAACACGACCGAATGATGGAAACAGAACTCCTCGAATAACTGCGCGTGATAAGCATTCAATTGTTTGTCCCATATCGTCATCACATGTAAGCTGACGGTTGTTCTGACTCAGACTCATGTTTGCTAGCAATAAGCATCAAATACAGTCACACTGCGAAGACGAAACTCCCTCTTTTAAAATATCTCTTATTATTATGCTCATCTTTATCCGGATAAACTCCCAACATCGTGTCCAGTCATATTGCTTGATTGTGTCATTATTTGCCTTGGCGTGGGGTACAGGTTTCTACCTGATAGCCCAAGCAAGATAAAAGAGTATAAAACCTCCTCCACAAAACAGAGCCAGCAAGGTTACTCTTTGCAGTGGCCGCACGAATAGAACCTTTCCAGACATCTTTCTCTAGTACTGGTGGAATCACAGTCAGATCTATCACATGAATGGATAGACCTTGGCTTGGGCGATCGTAGTCATGGCAAATGTACAACAGAAAACAGTGACGAGGAATTGTAAATCCATAATGGACAGCTATTCGAAGGGTATTTGTATTCAAAATCTAAAGACCTAGGGTTCCCAATCTGGCTAAGAGCAACAGTCAACAAAAATGATTAATACCCAAGTAGATTACTCTACACCGTGGCTTTATATGAAGGTAAGGTTAATATGCAGGTGCCTGGCCATCATCATCATAATCAGGATTGTGATAACTCCTGAGTGTACGGATATTACAGCGCCGGGATGGTATACGTCCCAAAAAGAAAACGCACATTTGGCGAGTTTGTACTCGACAGGAACCTTCCGACCCGTCCGAAACATAAGATTTGTCCAATAGCCATTGCATCATCGCAGGTTACGAAATATGCATGCACCGTACGAGAGGACTTCTTTCGGATATATCAAACACTTACTCGGTCGGTGCCGATGAGACCGCCCATCATGGATGCTAAAGCTCCCATGTTGAGGCGTCAGCTAAAGCATTCATGCGATCAAGACAGCTTCTTCTGCATCAGATCAGCCAACTCATCAAGTAGCTCCACTGTTTCAGCTGGACTGGCAATCCAAGCTGTTGTGCCAACGCTTCGCGCCTTGAAGTCATTGGAGCCGGCACTCAAGAACTGATCGCCCACGTGCAGCGTATTCTCTCCGCGGATAGCGCCACCAGTGTCTTTACTTCCGAACCACTGCTGGCAAACAGTCACACCCCAGCTCTTATCTCCAATGTCGACAAACACGTCGTTTCCACCGTTGAAAGCACAGAACGGCACACGGCGTGATTGGCTTGCTACTGAAGGCGGGATTGGTGGGGAGTTGGGGCGGTGCTTGATCGGACGCTCTTCGCTGGAGCCAAGACTGCTGAGCTCGAGAATGCGCTGGACAACCAGGACAGTCTCTTCGAGGCTCTCACGGGCGATCCGAGTTCCTGGTTCTTTGGGAATGATTCCCACGGCGCGATCCTTGCGCATGATCATGGCCGGCAGGTTCAAGTTGTTGACGCAATCGCGAAGGGCGCCCTCAGCAACATCCAGAAGTCTTGTGATGTCGGCATCCGACCACGAGGCCATCTCGGGTGTCAGCCACTGGGTACGTGGGACGGGAGCCAGCTTGTAGGGCGAAGACGGTGAGTATTCGAATAGATAGTTTGCTTCGCCTCCCATTATGACAATGTTTTGCTTTTGGATAGGGTCCAGATCAGTCGATTCCGCAATAGCGTCAAGCAATCCATGGAGACGCTCATAGTAGCGTTCAGCTGATGTGTACCCAGCAGCTGTAACAATACCGATTTTAATATTCTTGCGTAGGAGGTCTGTGACTTGTCAGCACGTTGTTTGCTAATTAGGGAGCAAACATACCCAGAAGACGAGGGATCACAGGGCTCGTGGGTTCAAGATTAAAACCATCGTCATAGAGCGTTACATCACCATCAAACGTGGCAAGCTGCAGGGAGCCATTTGTTACAGCCATAGATTGAGCTGAATTGAGAATTTGCCGGACATCGTTAAACGAAGGAGCAACAAATCTTCGAGATGAGATGTATCTTTTCCTGTCTTGATACTTGAAAGCTGCTTCAAGGGGGAGGCGGGTGAAGAAGGGGCCCGCAGTAGGGATAAGCATTCGTAACTTGGACGGAAATTTGGAGTTGTCTTGCTGGCGGATAACTACTTGGAGTTAGAGACGTTTTCTTTGAAGTGAATAGAGCATCTCACTGTGGTCATCGATCATGAGTTCAACATCACGCATAATCTCTGCGTAACGACGGTGAGCCTCCTCGGCCATTTGGGTGACGCTGGGTCCATCTCCAAAGACGCCTGTAGGTTGCGAGTAGAGGACAAAGGGGACAGCTAGAAGACCTTTGACCCATTCTGTGCTTTGAGTTAGCTGGACTGAGCACGAAGTGAGGAGTGATCATGGTGGGACATGTGATGTGGGCAGGGAAGTATTCGTAACGGTGTAGTATTCTAGTCTGTTGGGTAATATTCAGGCAAATTAGGTTCATCCTACCAATAAATTGATCTCTTCTGTGTGTCTTGAGAGCATCTATTTGCTGTTATGAGCTTGTGTAACCATGAGAGTTTGGGGTCTGGAGTTTGGAGGTTGAGGTGGGGTTACTTACACTCGACACGGTAGCGGGTTGTCATGGTTAGGTAGATAGGTAGGTAGTTAGAGGCTGATTATGTATGTATACAGTCGGGTTGTTTAACTTTGAGGATCTGTCTGCTGCTGAAGTAATAATAGAAGTAGAAGTTCTTTAATAAGAAAGAATGAAAGGGAGAGGAGTTGTTGTGTTGGATAAGCTGAGGGGAGACGGTGTGACTTGCCTGACCCAAGTAAGGTAAGGTAAGTTAGTACCTACGGTAGAGCTCTTGCCCTGCCGCGAGCGGGGAACGCCGACCGCTAAGATAATGGGAAATGCCCCAAGTTGTGGTTGGCGAATTGTTTGATTGGCTCGGGACATTCACTATACCCCTGGGAATCGCTCCTGCATCACTCTGTGCTCCGTGCGGCATTGCCATTGGCATTTATGCTTGTGTGGGTGTTCTGGTATCGAAATCTAACATACCCTAGACTGGAGAGAAGTTCCACAATCTTCATTTCCAAGGTACTATAGTCTACTACTGAGTTGCGTTAAGTCAATGGGCTACTGTGATTATCGGAAGTGAAGCTTGAGCGTACGTATACTGCTGCAGCCACTAAATAGTAAGTTAATGCACTGATCTGAGGTGAGACCTGAGTCCATCATTGCAGATCTTTTCAAAAAGACGAAGCTAAATCGTAGCTTTCCCCCGTTCTTCAGGTGGCTAGCTGAAGCCACCACGTACTAATGCGGTGAAACACGATAGGTGGCGTAGCAACTGATACACATAAAGGAAGATCTGCTCTATCAAAATGAACACGTTTCCAGTCTCCAATCTCATCCTGTTCGGTGATATCTTGACCTCTACAAAGTAACTCACAGAAACGCACAATACTAACTAACTACTAACCAAGGCACCCTTTTCAGACCAGAATAACAGTCTGAGAACATGCAAGCTCCTGGCATTGACTTCCGTGGAGACACGAAGCCAAAGGTTGGAAGTCCTCTCCCACCAGGAGATAAACATGTAAGCGCCGCGCACGCATATATCTCCCAATCTCTGTAGACTGACAAAGTCTCAAGGCCGTCAGTGTGTACATCCCAACATGGAAAGACACAGTAGCTTGGGCTAGGCGAGACCCGGAATTAATAGCACAGTTGAAAACTGGCTATCCTCGATTCTTCGTCCCTCTTGTTGTCGATCAGCTTGCCGAACGGTTGCTAGAATGGGCTTTTTGCAATCGAAACCCGAATACACTGACATCCGAGCTAAGCACCATATTATCGACAACCGGACGAGCAGCGATACTATTACCAGCAGGCCATCATGCAAGAATGTGTCAGAGGTATCTAGACGCTCAGAACATGGGGGCGACGTTTGTTCTGAAAGTTGACTTCAACAACGGGACACATATCATGAAAACCCCAGAGAAGACATGCAATTTGAACGAAATCTACGCAGTAGTATACCCGTCGGAACTGGCCAAAGATGCAAAGGCATTCTGGCAACATACAGGCTTCGGGGTGTCAAGCCGAAGAGCCACATCTTGGTTGGAAGACGCCCCTTTTCTGAACCAAGACAGTAGTTCATCGGCGACTGATCTTCCGAATCAAGACGCTGAAACTGCCAAGCTTGTGGTGCAACAAAGGATCGCAGACTTGCTCAGCACCGAGACCAACAGCTTGGACGTTGATGATGTCTTCTTATACCCGAGTGGCATGTCTGCCATCGCCCATACTGCGGATACTGTTCGGTATTTCACTACACCTACAAAAAGAACTGTGGCAATATTTGGGTATGTAATCCTGGAGTTGGCAGCTACGCCTTGCCTTGACTAATGGTGATCCAGATTCCTCTATGTTGATACATTCAAAGTCCTCAGCAAAATCTACGGTTTCGACTGTAAACTCTATGGCGCTGCCCCATCCGACTTGGAGGAGCTCGAGGCCGATCTAGCCAGCGGACTACAGCTGAGCGCTCTCTTTACCGAATTCCCAGGCAATCCACTTCTGGGCTCTGTAGACTTGGAGCGATTACATACACTTGCGGCTGAACATGAGTTCTTATTTGTGGTAGACGACACAGTGGCTACATCAGTAAATGTTGAACTGGTATCCTACTGCGACGTTGTCTGCACGAGTTTGACAAAGATGTTCAGCGGCAGCTGCAATGTCATGGGTGGAAGCATAGCCTTGAACCCACAATCGAGGCTCTTTTCGACTATGAAAGATCTTTTGAAGGAGGGGTTTACTGATACATACTTCCCCCTGGACGCTATCGTTATGGAAAAGAACAGCGCCTATTTTGAAGAACGAGTCATCACAGCAAGTCAAAACGCAGAACGTGCAGCAGACACACTCCGAGGCCATGCCTCAGTTGACCAAGTCTACTACCCCAAGGGCAACCCTACGCAGGATATCTACGAGAAATACAAACGACCAGGGGAAGGATACGGATACCTACTCTCCATCCGTTTCAAGACTCCAGAAGCTGCGATAGCGTTCCACGATGCTCTAGACGTGGCCAAGGGTCCAAGCTTGGGAACCAACTTCACTCTATGTTGTGCGTATACACTATTCGCACATTATTCCGAGCTTGAGTGGGCGGCTAAGTTCGATGTGGTTGAGCATCTGGTCCGGATCAGTGTGGGAATTGAGAGCCAAGAGTCTCTCGAAGTGATTTTGAGGACAGCTTTAGACGCTGCTGCACAGGCGGGCAAAGATTATAAGGAACATGGGCATATCAACAGAAAGCTGTGATGAAGTCAATATGTGCCTAGTTAGTGGGGATGGACTTACTCCAACCTCGACCAAAAAGGTTGAAACCTTTAATGATGAAGCAAAGTAAAATTCAAATGTTTATACTCTTTCCACAAATCATGATCGCCCATTTGGTAGGGCAAGTGATTGTGAGTTAAAGTTTGGGGATATCGCGAGTATAAACAAAAAAGGCCCTCACACAAATCCACGCAACGGAGGGTATTTAAAACCTAGTTTATTACAACTATAATAGTAGATAGAAATGATTTCTCCTCCCTTTCATATTTCATCCTTTTCATCTTCGCTTCCTTGTCACATCTTCCTCCAGCCGACTTACATACCTAATTACATCTTGTCCACTTAGACATTCCAATACAGTACGAATCTTAGCCAAGATGACTATAAACACTGTGGACCACTCGGGCGAGCCGGAGCCGGACTTGACGGGTAATAATACCAACACCATCAATGCCAATGCCAATGCGACAACACAAGATGAGATCATTACTCCCGCTCCCGCTCCCGCTCCTTCACCCGCACCCTCGATATTAACGCACTCATCCTCATCCGGCGCTCCTCCTGCGAGCCCAGCAACGAGCATTCATTCTGAAGGCTCGTCTATTTGGACTATCGCTTGGAGCGATGAGATGCAAAAACCGTCTTCCAGCCAGCGCTGTGCTACGCGATGGGTCCCGCGCGTGCTTCCCCCTGTAATGCTGGCCCTCGTTGGTTACGCAACCTACGATGTTATTGTCTATTGCTGTGGTAAGTCCTTGTTGTCGCGATCTGCTTCCGAATATTTAACTAATGGCTATCAGCCGAGTATCTGGTTAAACAGGAGAGAAAGGTAGCCGCCGCGGTCGTCCTCATTGCTTTCTACGCCATCTTCTTCATCCTCATGACCGCATCCTACCTGCGATGTTTTTTGACGATTCAATTCAACGCTGGTTTTGTGCCCTGGACCGCCGACAGGGAGGCAGTCGAACAAGCGCGAAACGAGCGACTGTCGAATGGCGGCGACGTCGAGTCACTATCATGGGCCCCTCCCGATACGAACCCCGATAGCCCTGGCCTCGAGGCCTTCTACAGCAAGGATGTGTTTATCTGCGAGAGCGATGGAATGCCCAAATGGTGTTCCGAGTGCAGGAGCTGGAAGCCCGACCGAGCTCACCACTCGAGCGAGTACGGCCGCTGCGTTTACAAGATGGACCACGTGTGCCCCTGGATGGGTGGCATCATCTCAGAAACTTGTAAGTGTTGAACTTGTACGAAGCATTGCGCAACTTGACTAACACGCCGGCAGCATTCAACTTTTTTGTCCAGTTTACAGTCTACTGCGCATGTTACTGCGCTGTGGTTTTGGGGGCTAATGGCTACGTTTTTGTCCTTCGCCAACAAAACGGCCTGAGCGGAGATGCACGGCTCATTGTTGGTCTGGCACTCGGTGGCTTGTTCGGCTTGTTCGCCGTTACCATGGCCTCTACGGCGTTGAGGTTTGCTTTCCAAAATATCACCAACATCGACCTTTTCAGAAAGAATCAGACTTTTCGATTGGCCGTTTGGGTTCCCAATAACACTCAGCCAACAGAACGGTTTGCAACCATCACCTATCCCCTCACGCTTCCCGGAGAGCCACCGAGAACCCCGATACCAGCTCGCTTCCGCAGCGTTGATCAATCAGACGGCGCTGCGTCCGTGACAGACCGAATGGCGGCTAGGGACGAGCAAGCTAAGCGTACATTCGCCATCCTCCAGACAGAACCTGGGGAGAACCCATGGCATATAGGATACCGAAAGAACTTCACGAGTGTCATGGGAGACTCTGTGATTGAGTGGCTGCTGCCCATCCGGCATTCGCCTTGCACCCGCCACGATAACATGGTTAGCGATTATGAGTTTGGGCCTCTTGTAGAGGAACTGAAAAGGCGTTATGGGCTTGTTGGAGGAGATCCCGAGAAGGAGGCGACTGAAACTACTTCGAATTAGATACCCACAGTTTTGAAATCGTTCGTTTTAAGGAGAAAAGGTTTAAGAGAAGGAAGCAATCGGTATATATAATGTTTAAAGGAGGCTAGACCCTGTTGGCATATGCACCCAACATAGACTATCATTTTAGTTAAATCATTTTCTTATGTTATCATCTGGGTTGGCCGTGTCAAAAGTGAGGAGCTTCCTTTGGAGGCGTAAATGATGAGTTAGAACGTATATGTCGCAAGTCTAGCAATCCTAGTATTGGTATCCCTCGTAAAATCCGCATAACAAGCTAAAGTTCAACCTCCACGAAGTAGATCCTACAGTCCCGTGCAAGGGTTCCAACAACAAGCCAGTTGGGGATTTCAGAACCAAGATCCTGTCATTCCTGTGCTAGGTGTTGACGGAGCAGCCCAGCAAACTAGTGATCAGAGTTTAATTATCTGAAGCATATGGAGTGGGTATTCTTTTTCTCTCGAAATTATTCAAACAATCGGATACTGGCAGACCATGGGAGCTGAGATGAAGTTGGGATTGTATATCCTGACCATTGAGGTCTAGGTTAAGCTGCACTGTTAATCATCCCTCATACTGCAATTTTAGGCACTTTAATCAGCAAACCTTGCGGAATTTTAATTTTGCCTATGTATTAAAAGGCAATTCATTACAAAGTCAAGCACGTCGATGTGAGAGTATGTCGATTGAAGGATAAACAAGGGGCTTGATGTTGGCTCTTGTGTAATAATTTTAGGAGTCAATGACGTGCCTATGGTCAGTCTTCTCTACAGTAAAAAAAACCACCGGGGCAACGCCAAAACCCATCCATTACCTACCTCCTACAGTAGTAATGTGAGAGATAGACCGAGGGCCTTAAGCTTCCAGAGGATAGGTACAATTACCTCCCTGATTAATTTAATTGGCTCTGAGGACTGCACACTGAAGGAAGAAAGGACATTCTGAACCTGCCTGGGTGGATCTTGCCACGAGCAGGTGAAGGCACTGGTGTCAACCTATCATAGCTCAGGGTCCTCTTTCCGTTCACAACATCTAAGTCTCAACAAACCTCCAACTTCGACTGCACGCACGCCTTGGTTGCACCTTTTTCTCAATCCACTCAATAACTTATGATAGACACTTCACACTCGTCACGAAATCAAAGAAATTAGTGCTTTTCAACAGCGTCTGTGGCGTCATCCACAGACACGAGAAGTATTATTCGTGAAAGGGGACTGGACCAAACGCGAACGCCTTGCAGCAGCCGCATGATGCGAAGGCACAGCTTACAATAAACACCCACACGGACTTTGAGACTTCCAAGGAATGGCTTCGTCTCCGCTTCACCGGCCTCTAGGGGCGTCATCGCCGCTCAACGAGGGAGGCTGGCGCCGCTCGCAGTTCACGTACCGCCAGTTTTCGCAGCTTGCTTCGTCCAACACTTCGAATCCATTACGCGTTATTGCTCACATTGACCTTGACGCTTTCTACGCGCAGTGCGAGACGGTTCGTCTGGGGATCCCCGAGGACAAGCCGTTGGCGGTTCAGCAATGGTGAGTTCTTCTCTCCCAAACCCTTTACGCTCTATTTCTGTGTAACCCGAGACAAAATTTCCTTGGTCCGATTCCTTTCACCCTATTTCAGCCTTGAAATCGAGTCTATCGTTCGAATTCATTGCTTGGGAGCAGACATGATTGGACATTTGCGACTCATTCTCGTTGAGGCTTGCATCGTGCTACCACCATTGTGTGATGGGGCGCTTTAGCAGGCTTTGAAGTGACTGTTCGGTGATTTAGAGTAAAACATATGCTCTCTCGTCAGCTTTAATCGAACCGAGCATGAAACTACTCTTAAACATCACAGCTCAGACTTCTTGGCCTCTGCTTTTAACTTGTCAAATGCTCAGAAACTCTAATTGTCTGGATCTTTCGTGCCTTCGACTTGTTATATGTAGCACACAATCGTTTGAAAACTACTTGATTTTTGCTCGTACTTCACATTGGCACCCTCGTGCCCCAGCCAGCGCTATACTGACAATTTAACAGGCAAGGACTCATTGCAGTTAATTATCCCGCCCGCGAACACGGTATTGGCCGCCATTGCGATGTCGAAGAAGCAAAAAAGCTGTGCCCCGATCTTATCACTCAACACGTAGCAACGTGGAGAGAAGGTGACAGCAAGTGGGCATATCGGGAGGATGCCGCTGCCAATATCGCAACAGACAAGGTCTCTCTCGACTTCTATCGTCTGCAATCTCGAAGGATTCTAGCAACCATCAAAGAGGCTTTGCCGGCTGATCTACAAAAGGTGGAAAAGGCAAGTATAGATGAAGTTTTCCTTGACCTTTCGAGCCAAGTCCACGCAATTCTTCTGGGGCGCTTTGCAGAATTATCGAACCCACCTCCTTACGATGACCCTACTGAGAAGCTTCCACTGCCATCCATAGTTGCACTCGACTGGCAGACCGATGCCTTGATCGATTTGGAGGAAGAGCAGGAAACGGTCGACCCGGACTGGGACGATGTCGCAATTCTCGTTGGCTCCGAAATCGTTCGCAAAGTCAGGTCCGAGGTACTTCAGAAGTTGGGCTATACGTGCTCAGCTGGGGTGGCCAGCAACAAGCTTCTAAGCAAGCTGGGTTCGGCTTACAGGAAACCCAACAAGCAGACAGTCGTACGAAACCGAGCAGTATCCGCCTTCATGTCTGGCTTCAAAGTCACAAAGCTCCGAAACTTGGGTGGAAAACTAGGAGAGCAGATCGTGTCTACATTTAACACAGAGACTGTTACAGAGCTATTGAATGTAACTCTGACAACCATGAAGACAAAACTTGGGCACGAGACAGGGCTTTGGATCTTTAACACCATACGAGGTATCGATACTAGCGAGGTTAACTCACGAACCCAAATTAAGTCGATGCTTTCAGCTAAATCTTTCCGACCTACTATCAACTCTTCAGAACAAGCGACTAGATGGTTGAAAATTTTTGCTGCGGACATTTTCGCCAGGTTGGTTGAAGAAGGAGTTTTGGAGAACAAGAGACGCCCTAGGACCATGAACTTGCATCATCGCCATGAGGGACAAGTTCGATCACGGCAGGCCCCCATCCATCAGGGTAAGGTCTTAGACGAAGAGACCCTCTTTGAGTTGGCAAAAGATCTTCTCTCACAGATCATTGCTGAAGGACGAGGGGTTTGGCCTTGCGCGAATCTCAGTCTCAGTGTAGCGGGCTTTGAAGATGGCGTTAAAGGAAACATGGGGATTGGGGCATTCCTTGTCAAAGGGGAAGAAGCAGAAGCCCTTCGCTTGTCGACTTCCGACAGTCGTCCCTCTTCTACTGGCCCAGAACCCTCCGCGAAGAGGCGTCGTGTCGAGGATGGTGGTATTCAGCGGTTCTTCTCCAAGAGAACCTCCAGTGATCCCGATATGGGGATTCCAAACGAGTCACATACCCCTAAAGATATCACCAAAACTAGCCGTGTGCCATCAGAAGACGCACAGAAGACTCTCACCTTCGCTACTAAGCATGACCATGAGGCCCGCCACAAGTCCGACCTTGTTCTGCATCAGCCAAACGGGTCACCATGGCATGAAAGCCTGTCCAATGGACGGAGGGATTCTAATCAGCAACCGCCGATCGATCTTGTATGCTCCCGCTGTAAGGCCAGCTTCGCAGACCCGGAAGAGCTGCAAAGTCATGGGGACTGGCATATGGCCAAAGACCTTCAGGACGCGGAACGTGTCAACCCTACATTCGCCGAACGACAAGCTACTGCACGAAACCCTGCGCAAAAAACGCAAGGAGCTGCCTCAAAACGAGGCCGTGGAGGTAAGCTCGAGCAAGGACAAAGCCGGCTCAAGTTTGGTTAAGACTTCGGCCGTCAATGGAACAAAGACAGAGCCTTCTCTCACCTGAACTTACATGCTGGAAGCACGAACTCTCCAGCTATGCCCTGTTCTATCTTTATCCTTCCGTCACTGCATGATGATGTGAAACGAAGGCATCGACATTGTCAGGGGCTAGGCTTTCACTGATGTAGTTGGGGAATAATCAAATGTGCAGATCAACACGTTGCATAGGCAGTTATCGGCACAATCCCTAGCTACCGTACGGGTTACTTCGAATTCCTACATCCGTGGCAGTGCGACATTCCATTTGTATTGGGTACTCTGAAACCTTTTGGTTGTACAAGTCAGTAAAGATGCAGAAACGTGGTACACAAATCATGTCAACGCAGTCGAAGCAGCATGACAGGCCGATCGATAAGGCAATGCGAACAGCCGAAGCACACATCAGGGGAATTAACAAACTGCTGAGGTATTTGTCTGCTCACGCACACGCTCCAGTATCAACCAACCGGAGGAACCGGATGCCGTTAACTACATTTTGCTGATGTACGTAGGTACCAAAACCATCAAAGACGTTGTCAAAATGCTTGACTTCGTGGAGTGCCAAGTCGTTAACAAGTTTTGTTCTATTTTCGCCGATATGATGAGAAATGATTGGACAACAAAGCTTGGGCGCCGAACACATGGTCATGGGCGGAAAGGTTGGGCTTCAATTGGTGAAAGCATTGCTACCCAACCCACACTCCAAAGTACAGCGGAAAAGCCAACCGTCACGTCAACCGCCCAAACTGGGAATTGGCCTCAGATGCAGCTGAGGTAAAGTCAGAATCTCGCAACAGCTGACAAGCATGTCGCTATGGACACACGTTGCCTATCATTTGTGGGTGTACGTTTGAGATTCACGCTCAGCGACAGCGACGGGGACATGGCAGGGAGAAATAACGAGCCACGAGAGTAAAGATGCCCAACTTCCTGAGACAGTTGGGCAAGACCAAATATTGCAACCGCGAGGGAATGGAGGCACAGCCCTTCTCGCGATAAATGACGGACAGAGAAGTAGAGTGACAATGAGCTCCATCTGTCTACGTGTCACTTGGAGTCGAGATGGGATATTGAACCAGTGCATATTAGCAGTCTCGAATACTTCACAAGGGATATAAAGCAGCAACGTGAGGTACATGATGAGGTGTGACAATGGTACCTTGAGTTCTCATTTTCCTCGGACCATCCTATCCTTCTGTCACGTCGACAAGGTAACCTACACCGGCACTTCTCAGGAAAGGGAACGAATTTCTGAGGCTTGCAAGCGAAACGTCATTGTACCCATCATCTTCCCTCTTTATTGCGACCACAATCTATTCCACGACACCACAGCACTAGCCTCAATAGCAAGCGCTGATCCTTTGGGGGAAAGAAGGTTTTATGTTGCCTATTCAAGTTCTGTCTCAGCTCCGCTTGCGGGCGATCGTAACCTAGACCACGGCGTATCGCCGTTATTATCCCACCACAAACGTGGAAGAGGGCTCGAGTGAACGGACGTTGGGCATCGTCAAAACAAGGGATAGCCTTGTTCACGACAATACAACCACGGCGTTAGAAGTATCATCTGCCGCTCGTGCTTTTGGTAACTGCAGGTCGTTTGGCTGTCGATAGCTGTCTCCGAAGGTTCTACACTGCCAGCACAGACAAGGTCGTGATCTGTTTCGATCTCGACTCCGGACCGCAACGGGTTGGATCGCTAATAAACGACGGGTTGAATCGATTCCCATGCTCAGATTTTCGAGATTTGATATTTCTATCAACGTGCCCCGTAACTGACGCAATTCCGCTATCTTTGGAACGAGCAAGGGATAAACCACGTTGCGACCTGGAACAGCAAGACACCTGCACTTCCTCAATGGGACAAGACAGGAAAAGAGGCTTATTGCAGTGCATATGTCGCACCACACGAACGATACATCACAGCGAAGAATAATCAACTGACAGGATAGATGTGAAGAAGTCCTAGGTATCGGACTCTGAACAGCTGCTAACTGTTCACGGACGCGACGATTTTGTCACGGCATCAAAAGTCAATTGCAATTGATAAGAAGCGGCATCGCCGTGACTGACACCGCAATCATTGATCAATCAATAGCCTACGGCGGGCTGCGCTGTGACTCGCCAGCCAGAAACCGTTTAGTCGCAAAGTCAAAAGAAAGACAAGAGCTTGAAAAGAAGTCCAAAGGCTCTCCGACAACCAAAGGATTTTGCCCAACCTCTCGTGATGCCCAAGTGTCGTCAGTCACCGCCAAAGCCCAACCCCAAAACCAGGACCAAGAAGGGCAAGGTAGAGAGAGCGCTGTAGGGCACGCGCAAAAAGTTCTGCAGGCCCCGAACGCGCCAACCGCTTCTGGTTTCGGTAACAAAGCGGTCCAACGGTCCACCAGAATAGGTCGCCACTGGACGCAGGGTTGTTTGCAGCACGGAGCAGACAAGGACCAGGCTAGCCAGGATCAGGATCAGAATCAGGGCACCCACGCACGAGGCCAGCAGCGCCAGTCGCAGATCCCGTCAACTGGTGTTGGGCTCGGTCGCGGTGGGAGACAAGCGTCCGTCACGGATAGTCCCAGACAAGAAACAGCCATCAGGTTCACAGCGAGAGCACAACCTGAAGCGGGAAAATCCTCATCAATAGACGAAATATTAGCATCATCTCCGTCTCGCCTCGAACAGCCGGGAGACCCCAGCTTATACTATCTTGGCCCTCTGCAAAACCAGAGCCAGCTCCACCACGAACATCACGACGCCCAACAGTTTCAGGGTTTTTGGGACCAAGACCCATCATTATTAACATATCAGCAGCCTCAACCTCTCGGCTTTGGCTACCAGCAGCATCAGCAGCATCACCAGTACCAACCTCCTGCGTCTCCTTCGCCACCACCACCTTTTTCCTTTTCCTTTCCAACACCCCCAGCATCAGCACCAGTAACATCTGCCTTTGTACTGGCTCCTCCTCCTCCTCTGCCTCCTCCTGCAACTCCACCAAGGCCACCGCCGAGACGACGTTTCCAACCAACTACGTCTCGCCGTCAGCAGAATTTGTCCCACTGCCGGTCCAATTCCAACCTGAGCTCGAGCTCAAGTACCAGTGCTAGTACCAATAGACGTCTGCTGGCCTCTCGGTCTCCTGCAAGTCACTCTGCCAGTGGAAAAGCCCCTCGTCAGCGCCTAGCACCACCACAACCGCAGCCAATAGATTGTACAGACCCACAGGACGCGCCCACCGCCCACCACCGCTATTCGCCTTTTCTTCCTCCTCATCCTCACCCTCCTGCATCTTCTCTTTCTGCCTGTTCTACCCTCTCAGCGTTCTCCACGTCGTCTCCCTCTTCCCCCATTTTCGGCTCTATCTCCTCTTCTCCCGCTCTTCTGTCGACCTTCTCTTCCATCTCCTCCTCTTCCTCTTCCCACCAAACCTCTTCGCCGGTCATATCCTCCCCACACATCAACATGTCGAGAGCATCCCGAAACACTCCCGCAACCGCTGCCGGTACAGGCCGACAAAACGAATACTTCGTCCCCCGTGATGGCATCGACCGTGAAGTTATCTCTGCCGATATCTGTCGCTACTTGGGCAACGATGCCCTCGTGCGTCCCGGCCATTACGAGGTAGGCTAGCAACATTTGCTGAACCCCGCCATGATGATGTACACAAAATAGCTCACATTTTTCACCACGAAAGAACCCACAGACAGGACAAGCCGTGCAAGGCTACTACATCACTGCTTATAGGAACCTAACAACTGTGAGTCTCGCCTTCTCGTTGTCATTCTTGCACAAACTGACCATGAACCCTCAGGCTATGATTGAGGATCTAAAAGCAGACTCTGCGCGATGGGACAGTGAGAGGCGTGCTCAGACCTCGCGCAATACCTCCGGAGGTACTATTGCCTCGAGAAACGTTGGCGTACCGCCGAGACACTCATCTAACTCACCTGTAGTCCAATACCGCTACTCAGAGACGCACCAGTCTCGTCAGCATCACGGTCCTACCGAGGGCCCTTACCAGACCGACCCCTACGCTCGTGACTCAGCCTTTGACGCCGGACCCAGGTACCCAGGAACAGGTGCTCCCGGTTACACTGGTGCCGCCGGTTCATACAGCCAGTCTTACGGCGCCTCGAGTGGTGGTGCGTTCGCCGGCTTTGCTCAGACTCAGCAATCTCCCCCTCCCGCGGATGCTAGGTTCAGTTCTGCTCCATCGGCCACTGTTATGAACACGGCCTACTCAGGCGGTCAGAGCCCTTACGTGGACGTCGGAACAAATCAACGCCCCAGAGGATATGAGGCCTATACTAACCAGATGGGCACCTCAGCTGCTGCCCAACAGGCTGCTTATGCCACTGCAGGCCCTACGCAAAGCGGCTATGCTGCTACTGCTTACCCACAATACTCAGGTCAGGCTCCTCCTGCGGGTTATGCAATGCAGCCCCAGGATCCCTTTTATGGTCGTGGTGCGTATAGCGGAGGCAATACCCATCGGGCAGCTCCCACAAGGATAGTGTACTGACGCCCAAGCTTTAGCAGGCCAACCAGCACAAGGATATACCCAGGCCCCACAGTATGAAGAGACCCCCCGTACTCGCGCTTCAGCGACACCAACAAATACTCAAACAAATCCCAGTGGTACCTCCAGCAGCCGACGTAGTGAGCGAGAGAGCGACAGGCACAGTACCGACCGACATCACCGAAGCAGCCGCCGGTAAAAGGTGTGCTCCCGGATGCCCGAGGCCGGATCTTTGTGCCCTTCCTTTTCCCGAGCTTGATGGAACGCCTGACGTTCTAGCGAGTGTGATGATTTCTGCATAATGACCGGATTACATGGAGTACGGCTTATTTTTTCCTTGGATCGACCCTTTCGTCCTCTTTTCTATTTCTTCCGGACATAACCCTTCTCCAGAGGTTCCAGGTTTCTTTTCTCTGGCTGGTGCCACCGCCGAGTTGCAAGTCTGCATCTCATACAGGAGTTCCCTACTGGAAAGGTACCCTATTCCGTCTTGCTGGATTTCCTCTGGAGTCGATAATACCCTTGGACGTACCAACCGTTATTGCTGCCGATGATGCCCTGGATTCACGAACTGGACTTGCTGAGACGCATACCCTTGGTGTCTTTTTTCTTTACTCTTTTTGTCACGACCTTGCATTGAGGATGAGCCTTGCCTGGATTAACGACCTCACCGACTACGCATTATTATTTGCCATATGGATGAGATCATGCTGCATACGTTTTACACTGGACACGGCGCTGGGTTGGAAAAGGAAAGGGAGCCATCCCTTACCAGGTGGACTAGGGGTGGTATCTCACTGTCATGGCCTTGCTGTCCGGATCCGCCCTCAGGGGAGTATTCTGTTTTCCGTTCCTGGATCTGGCTGGTTCTTGCGCTTTTCATCCAATGTCTTTGGCTCCCGGATTCTTCGATGTGACCCATCGTCGAGACGCGGTGTTTATTGAAATCATAATTGGCAGAGGCCGGTACCCGGACAGCAAGGTGAGTTCGAACGAGCTTGTATATATTAGCCAACCCTTTCAAAGGATCTTTTGCTTCCCCTCGCCTCATTCTCACGTCTTCTTCCATTGATGGATTTTCCATGGATCATTTTTGTCTTGATATGAATCGCAAAGACACTGACTCGGCAGACTTTACTCAAGCAGCTAGGTGCACATCTGAACTCCTTGGACAAACCTCTTCTACTGGACCCTGCTGGACATACCTGGACTTGCTTGCTCTCAACCGCCTTGCGCTTACTTCCCTTGACCAAGGAATGGACCCATCCCGTAAGGATTTATGCTTTTGTCTGGATCTCTGCCACAAGCAAAGAAATTGCTTTGAACACTTTGCTTTGGACAACTCACCTCAACCGAGGTTTTGCTCATGTTCGTCACTGACGACAATAGCACTCGTGCAACCGCACTGAGTTGCTTTGGAGAAACCAAACAAATATGAAGAGCATACCCATGCAAAAGAGTCAAGGTAACATGCAAACAAGGTGATTCAATGACCACCAACCTGGTTTCGTTCTTGCTTGACGTCACTGGATCGCAACTTGCTACACTACTGTCTGCGGCATAAGTCGCTTGTTGCTTTGGATTCTTGAGAATCCATTCCTGTTTGCATCACGGACCCGACGCACTTGGATTTTCTGTTAGGATGCCAACCTCTCCATACCTGGACACTTGCTACACGTTGCTGGCCACTTAACAATCGTGATAATTCGACATTTCGGATCGATCCCAGCACATGGAACTGCCTGTCCCGGAGCTACTACATAAATCACTGGATCAACTATTTGGACGACCTTTCCTACATGCGAGGAACCCTACCGTGATTATGCCGCATGTCACATTACCGGATCGGGTGACACTCGGGGATCAGATGTCGCAGCGAGTGATGAATACTTGTACATCTGGCTATGTGGGAACATTAAATGGCGGCATGGATGGCGCAGAAAGCGCTGGGCTTTAGACGCGTTGGCTTGACTTATTTTTTATTTGCTTTTCTCCGATCTTGGATCCGTGGACACATTTCTCTGGCCGCTCTGTTATCTGTTTTCCTGTCTTGTCTGCTACACTTTCATGTCTTGGTTACGGGTTGCTTGGGATACAGGGAGTTTAAGGGGTCTTCTTCTACTTGGAGTGGAATGTTTGGATGAATTGAATGTTACGAAGTACCATCATTGCAAAAGTCTGTCGATTAGAATACAGGAGTTAGCCACATAATGATGTAGATGACTCAACTATCGTGGATGAATAAAATGTTGACCTGTGTCAAACTAAACAGCATATATGTTGTCTGAGCTTCTTGTATTCCACAATCGCTTTCGCCCATTGACAACAGTTTCATTGACATGACGCTATTCAAGGATTCCGCCTCACTGACTGACGGTTTCGTCGCCGGTAGGGATGATGGGAGTGAAGTCGCTGGTGAATACAGTGAGCGGTGTGGTGGTGCCTGGGTAGTCGGTGACCACGATTGGTGGGCTCAGGCGGAGGTGGCTCGAGAATGCCATCCTCGAGAAGCATATTGATGACAGCGCGAACCCATAGCTCACAGCCACTTGATTCACCTGCATGGGGAGTAGACACTTCAGGATTGAATGGCCTTGGATAATCCTTGATCATAGCACGTGCATGATCCAGCTCCTGCGATGCGATTGAGCCAACGAACTGAGTATCGTGAACGTCGCCTATGTTGTGTGGAGAACTGAGGATATCGCATACAAGAGGCAACGTTGGCTGTGGATTCTCTGTGAACGGCATGTGTGTTACATGGTAGACATAGCCTAATGGTCGAGGGGGGTTGGTTGGGATAAAGAGTTTATGAGAGCCAGGGGAATGTTCAATGTGAAAGACTTGATAGCGTGCTGGTTCAGAAGTTTCGGCAGAGGTTGCAGGGGCCTCATCATTATTGTGAATCTGAGCTGATTGCAAGTCGACTGGCAAGATCATGTTGGTAAAGAGGGCGGTTGAGAGACTCGAAGGTGAAGTTCGGAAGCCGTTTTCGAACTTCTGAAGCCAGAAAATAGCCTACTTAGTGAAACAGGCAGTGGGATATCATAGCATCATATACTCAGAAGTCAACGTACAATGCAGAGCAGGGTGCCTGAGCCACTGAATATGGCAGTACTGAAGACAGCTGACCTTGTCGATGTTAACATGGTTCGATGTGCTGTACGAAGCCGTGCTTCTCGTATCATGGGAAGTACTGTAGGAATATGTAGTCCGAGTTTCGAAGCATGCGGGTGTCCGCAGGCTGGGCTAGAGTGAGTAGCTGTGATAATGCAGAGTTGTCTGTTTAAGGTGTTGACGCCGATGTGACTGCAGTGTGCTGCCAAGAGTGGCGTTTGCCCTTGGAAACACACGACAGTTGTCTATTGTTCCCTCAGCAATGAATGGATGGAGATCGAGCAAGGTTTGGTCTTTACATGGATGTCATAGGTATCTGTGTTAGCAAATTCCCAACAGATTCGTCCATACAGTAGGCGTCCGAAGGTCCCGACAGTATCACTCTCTTTAATGCTTGGATAACTTTATACCACGATATATGAAAAGTCTTGATAGTTTGTAAGTCTTTGATATTGTATGTTTCCCCAGATCCCGTGGTTGGTGATAAGAGAAAGCCGGGATGGGCGTGTAAGTATAACCACATAAAATGAGGTTGAACACGGCTAGCCTTGGATGGCAACTTGGCCGCTCTGCGGTGCTTGACGTCGTTCGTTGTAGTTGCACTGTCTTCCCATAAGCATGGGGCGGGAGTCGATATCGTAGGCCGAGTCGAGTCAGGTGGCTGCGTGACCTCAAACACAAACACAAGCTTTTGGAGTTGTCGAGTTGTTTGTTGGCACGTCAGATGATATCGAGCTGGAGGGTCATTTCATGCCATATCCCGTTGGTGAGGCGTACGGCGGTAGCAAAGTGTTTGGATTAATTTTCGTTGGTGCCAGCCGTCATATCCGATTGTAACCATCTACAGAACTGAATATTAATAACCCGCCAAATTAGCCATTGGTTGTTGTATTTTAAATGGTATTCGAGAGCGGAGAGTAAGAGAAGAAGATTGTTGAGAGAAGGAGGAAGAAGACAAGACAAGACAAGACAAGACAAGAAAAGAGAGGATAAGGGGGCAGTTACGGAGTGATGTCGCACAGGGAAGGTGTTGGGGTATGGACTTATGCCGTGCCTTCCTTATGCGGCTGCCTCATAATATCAAGGCCGACTGCATCTCGCAGGAAAGAGCCATCGTCGGTGTGACTGCAGCTTCCCGTCACGATCTGCGCGTGATCCAGCAATCCCCGTATTCGTGAGGTGCATCAAGGAAGGAGGTACTGGGGCATAGCAGCATGGAAGTCTAGGTACCCTAGGTACTCAGGTTAGTAGGATGAGCCTGAGCTTCGGGCAAAGAACTTGAGAAATGAGCATTTGAAGTTGAGATATGAGCATTCTGAGAGTGTATAATCTGAACAAGTAATCCATCCAATCCATTCGTTTCATCTTCGACTGACAAATAATCAACAACAATCAACCAGCAACAACACAATTTAAACTGCCCGATGTAAGAGCCGCTTTTCCTAGTTCAAAGCTCCAAGCCAATCAACTTCCTTATATTGTTTCTTTTGGTGATCAATTCGACCAAGCCGAACCCGCCTTTCCTCCAACCCTCTTCAATAGGCAGCCTCTCCTCTTGGAGGAAAGCTTTGGCATAACTGCACGACACACTTTCACCAGTTCCGATAACGTTAAGTATAAGTGCAATCTCAGCACAGGCGAGGTCATGCTCAAAGGCTCCATATTGAAGACCTGGGTTATCTGCTTTCTGTCTAGCGATGCGTTTCTTGCGAAACTCTGCCAAGTCGTTCGCCGTAATTACCTTCCCATCCTTGGAACTGGCCAAGAGATCCTCGACGAGATCTTGCTGAAGAGTGATATTGTCGCCTTGCTGATGATCCCGACGAGTCAGGGATACGTCGTGCTCTACCGTGTTGGGAAGACCAAGCTGATCCAAGTTTATGACTCTGCGCCCCTCGGCATCTAACTGACCCGGCTTGCGCATGCCGAATCGCCCAAGGACGGACCATGGATCACTGACTGAACTCCACAAGTTTTGTACTAGAGATCTCTTTGGGACGGGGTCATCGTGGAATTTTGAGGGCGCGCGCTCCTGGAAGATGGGGTTGGCAAAGGCTGCAGCAAGAGGCTTGGAGAGTCCGACTACATCCAGGCCTGCGAGAACTTCCTCGACATGAACATTTCGGCCATTGCGGGGGAGATAACCGTGATTTGCAAGAGAGTTTATAAGCGGGCAGGGACCTCTTATATCATCTGGCCCCGAAGGGACATATGTCCCTTTAGCGGGCGTTTCTGCAAGTGAAGCCATCTTGATCGAACGGAGAGTTTGCACCAAAGTAATGCTTAAGGATTGAGAAACACGGCACTAATAAGAAAGAACAGGCCGCGAGTAGATGCCAATTTATAATTGAGGGGATACCATTGGACGGCCCAAACAGACCTTACCCTCGCGTCTCACCGTTCATCTCCAGCTCGTAAGACGACGTTCAGCCACTGAGGTAGCAGCTGACGCTGTTGTACTCGTGTCTCAGCCAGCCTCATACTAGGGATTGGTAACCTAACAAAGAGACCCTTGGTTGAGATCAGACAGAACTCATGTCTAACATTGTGCGCTATCGAACACAGTCCCTATCACAAAGACGCCCACTCGCTGGCACCATCAACAACGAAAACAACTGGCCTAGGTGAGGTTGCATCACATGTTTTTATGCGGTCCTGCAAGCCAATTATTTGGGTCTTTGAGATATGGCTTCCAATGACGGAGCGATGTTTGAAAGAGATATAAGAGCTCAAGAATATGTAACCTCGTCAATGACTGACTCCTGTGATTTTACATATGTCCCTCTTGTTTATTTGGGCCCGAACATTTGCGAAGAGTTGAACAAAACAAACCACCGTCTCTACTCATCTTGTCAAAGAAAACCGTAATAACTGGTTTTTTATTCTAATTTGGAATTAAGTACCTGCATTGCCATTTGTCGCAGCTTGCGAGGAGGAAAGACATGGAGTAACAGCAGCAACCATTGCGAAGCATCAGCAGTTAGAACCGCCAAATACATCACCATCAAACAAGCAGGGTCACCTTTTCGAAAGGGCTTCCTGCTCCGGGGAGTAATATTCTTGTGTCAGCCAGTATTGTATCTTGTTAGCGTACTCTGTATATATATAGCAATTGCAATTCGTGGTCGGTTTACCATTCCGTGCAAAAGTTTCGATACAGAGGCAGCTCGGGATATACTAAGTTGTCCTCTGGCATTGCCAGACTAATCATAATACCAGAGAGATACGAAGTAAATAGAAATCGAGGACTTGTAACAAAAGTATCTGGTGGATTTCAATTAATTGAATTTACTTGATCATATAAAACTTAGATGAATCGGCTCGAACGGTCGGGGACGTTTCGAGCATGCCATCAACAGGTAATTGAATACTTACAAAGGCAGTCTTTGCATTAAATGTCCCTCAATGACAGATGGTGTATACAACGATGAAGATAAAGATGGCAACGGAACGAAGAAGGTGGAGGAACAGGTCATGACCAAAAGATTCACTCAACTCGTGGTAGTGCCTAGCAAGCCATGCATAATACATGTATAGCAGCTCGTTGTCAATATCCCCGCCGCATGATTGTGTTATTGCTCCTCTGTAACATCAACGACCATAGTTAGTGGCTCGTTGTTTACCAGCAAACAATGTCATTGGACATTTATGTAGATGGCTTGGATGTCCAGAACCATTTGTTGCTTCCATACGAGAGTGAGAGGACGCCGCACTTCCTTGTAAGTCTATGTATTCGAAGATATATGATGCTTATCGTGTATATTACAAGACTTTAGGTAATATTAAACATGACCCCTTCCCAGAGAAGAGCCTGGCCACCGCCAAATTTCTGAGTCGCAAAAGGGTAACACCGGGGTTTCCACTGTGAAGGAAATGTGTGAAGAGATAGCCTGAAGTATGAAAGAGTCAGTCTTGGAAGACGACTGTTGTATAGATCAGCCCCCTGCAAACGAATATCAGGCAAGGCTCGCGGGCCCTTTACGATATCCCAGAGAAGCTGTTCTTCCAACACACTCCACTGATGACCTAACGTCATCTAAGCTGTACTTACATACTATGTATGCCTGATCAGCCCCAAGTATATAACACGAAGCTCAAACACAATGACAGCATACCTACCTGTCAAGAATGCCCACAGCATCTGTCTGCCTAGGTTATTTGGGTTAATGCGGAAGAAGGTTCTGGCGACTTGATGCAGCTTGCACGGGTTTATGGAAGTGGCTAGCATGAGTGTAGAAGTTGGTGCGCTTCTATAGCAGCGACCTTCAAGCGTGACACTTTCCTGCTTCAGGCTAATGCAGCCAATTCCAATGTCTCACAATTGTCCACCAAATTCCTCTTTTGCAATCAGCATCTCAAAAACACCAATTAACGCAGACTCTCACAGGATTGAGCTGCGGTTTGTTCATCCACGGAAACTCGTGGCGTCCTCCTTTGTTTTGAATAGAAAAATGACGATCGTGACGTCTCGTGATCCGTTTGGAGGAACCAACAATTTGGAGTCACTATCTGTACATCTAAGCCAAAAGCGGTGAGAGAGAAATTGGCGGGGTACTAAAGCCTTATGGTGTTGGACCCTGCGATTTGACTGGGTTTTTTCTCGGTTTATTTTGTTTTGGCTATTCTGGTTGTTTGTCTCCATGCTTCATACTGGTTGTCTTCTCCCTTCAGTTGATTGATCGACAGTTTCTTCAGCCGAGGATTGCTGTATTGTACCATGAGTATTTTCTTTCTGATATATTTTGGAAACATCAGTGGCATTAAATGCCACCCAGCGCCAACACTCAATAATTCAGGGGATCAGTTCAGAGCCCTTGTGGTTGTCTGGGCGCTGTCCTCTGGGGAAAGGCGTTTCTAGCTTGCAGTTAAAATGAGATCCGACCCTAAAAGTGATCGCCCATTTTGCCATGGGTGACCTCGTGCGTAGCTCGTGGCAGACTCGTGCCGTGCTGACGGTACTTGATCGAGACGCCAAGGTTTGGTGCGTCGCCATGTATCAATTATCCTGTTTGATTGGTTCACGAATTGAATTGTTTTGGTTCGAGACTTGTTCCCATGAAAAAGGTTGTTTGACTCGGGTTATTAGTTGAAGAGTTTTATAAGAGATAGATAGATCTCTATCTTGATCTATACCAGGCTTTGGTAATTGAGACTACCTGGCTCGTCACTCGTCAGGCAAGTGAGGCCAAGGTTGTAAGGAAACGTGGGAACCCTTGCATACCTAAGTCAACTGCAATAATTTGCTCCTGCCTTGGTTGAACATTGATTGGCTTTGGACATCGTGACTTCCTAAGCTGTGATGTCGTCAGCCATTGATGTACCTGCCTTCTCTGTTTGCTTTCCACAAGGAGGTTGACAAATCACAAACCTGCATCCAAAAATCAGCTGAAGCTCAACTCATTGAATAAACAACTAAGGAATCTCTTTATTTGACACTTCAGATCTGACTAAAACATCTTCATTTTCATCATTCCCCGGAGAAGAAAAAAAGAAAACAAGATCCACTCGCAACCAAAAAAAGTGTGCGTGTGTTTTTCTTCGCTCCTCCAGTTCATTCTACTCCGTCCCGACTCCGTCTCCAGCTTCCGCCGCCGAGCGACACACAAACCCGCCGAAGCTGGAGCCCTATTCGGCCCCAATCAGAACCCCCAAATTGCCCCCCTGGACACTCGCACACACTGGACGGCCCTGGTGGTACTTTCGACCGACTACAGCTTTTTGGGCCTCTGGCATCGTCCATCGGGACCTAATATTTCACTTCCTACAAAGGAAAGCAGGGGGAAAAATTCTGACAAACAAGAGTCACTGCGCATTTTCAAGACGAGACGCTCGGAACCTCGACTTGGTATTGCCTCTGCCTCTGCTTCACACTGTGGCTCGTGGCCTTTAGGTCGTCTCTAAATGCCCCGCCATCCGCCGCCATCCTTATCCAGACCTGACAGATCCTGATTCCGCCTCTTTCGTCCGCCTTTCTTCCAACCTCACACCTCCATCGTCTTCGGCCTCGACGTCGATTTCTTTCCATATCCACCCTTCACCATGGATCCCGCCGCCGTGAGGTCCTTGCTCGCCACTAGCTTGGACCCTGATGCAGACAGCCGAAGGCGTGCTGAGCTTCAGTTGAAACAGGTGCGTCTTGCATTTGCGTTTTGTGTCGAGGGAAGGTTCTTGTGCTTGGGCATCGTGAAAGGTCACGGCCAGCCCTCTGCTTTGCTATTGGGATGCGATGATTGGCTTCCACCTTCCTCGCCGATCTGAACCTTCTCCGCATAGCCTGCACTTCGTTGTGCAACTGCCTGTCCCTTGCGCCAACACAAATCCCTAAAGCGCCAGTATGCTAATTCACACCGGTTCGCCATATAGATCGAAGAACAGCCCGGATTCCTCGAATGTCTGCTCAACATCCTGCAAGCCGAACAGGAGTCAAGCGTTCGCCTGTCGAGTATGTTTATCCAACTTGGGTGCCCCTCTATTCACCCTTTGTGCGCTTGCTTCATCAGTCCAGCCCCCTGACATTATTCTACTCCAGCCGTTATCTACGTAAAGAACCGCGTGAATCGATCATGGTATAGCGAGGGGTACTCTACCGAAGCCCCCGCCGCCACAATCCCTGAAGATGAGAAGGCTCGTGTACGAGACCGCCTTCTGCCGATTCTTGCTGCTTCCGAAGGCCTCGTCCGCCAGCAGCTTATCCCCGTCCTCCAGCGAATCCTCCAGTATGACTTCCCAGCCCGCTGGCCAAAGTTCATGGATTTCACCCTCGAGCTCCTGAACACGAATAACCCTGGCTCCGTCCTCGCTGGCTTGCAGTGTCTGCTTGCCATCTGCCGTGCCTTCCGCTACAAGGCTACTGACAGCGATGACCGACAACACTTCGACCAGATTGTTGAGGCCAGCTTCCCTCGTCTCCTGGCTATCTGCAATGAACTCGTGAACCAGGAGAGCGATGAGGCGGGTGAGATGCTTCACCTGGCTTTGAAGGCCTACAAGCATGCGACATGGGTACGCACATTTCTGAATACCATTTACATCGTTTTGGGACCTTGTACTGACCTTGTTCGTAGTTGGAGCTTTCCCCCTCGCTGCGACAGCGCGATGTCAACATTGCTTGGTGCACTGTTTTCCTCCACACAGTCTCCAAGACCTGCCCGGCCAACGCCATGCAGGGCGACCAGCACGAACGCGAGAAGCACCACTGGTGGAAGGCTAAGAAGTGGGCTTTCTTCAACCTGAACCGTCTCTTTATCCGGTATGATTGGCTACACTTGCTTGATCTTGGTGACTTCATTAACATTTGTTTCTAGACACGGTAACCCTGCGAGTCCCGGTAAGGGCGAAGACGCACTTGCTTTCGCCAAGGACTTCACCGCGAACATCGCCCCCGAGATCCTCAAGCACTACCTCCAGGAGATCGAGAAATGGGTCGCCAAAACCTCTTGGCTTAGCCGACCTTGCCTTTCTTACACTCTGGTCTTCCTCGACGAGTCGGTACGACCCAAGGAGATGTGGACACACCTCAAGCCTCATCTTACAAACCTCGTTACTCATTTCGTCTTCCCTGTCCTCTGCCTCACCGAGGAGGACGTTGAACAGTTCGAGGACGAGCCCGACGAGTACCTTCACCGAAAGCTCAACTACTTTGAGGAGGCATCTGCCCCTGACGTCGCTGCCACGAACTTCCTCGTCAACCTCACCAAAAACCGCCGCAAGGAGACTTTCGAGATTCTTACGTTTGTCAATGCTGTTGTTACCGAGTACGAGCAGGCTGCCGATGAGAACAAGAACCATATTGCCAAGGAGGGTGCTCTGCGCATGATCGCTACCCTGGCTCCTGTTATTCTGGGCAAAAAGAGCCCTATCGCGGACCAGGTAGAATACTTCCTTGTCCGTTATGTCTTCCCTGACTTCACCAGCCCCCAGGGCTACCTCCGAGCTCGTGCTTGCGACACTATCGAGAAGTTTGAGCAGCTTAATTTTAACGACCCCAACAACCTCCTTACTATATACCGACACATTCTCGACTGTATGGCCGACCCTGCACTTCCCGTTCGTGTCACAGCAGCCCTTGCTCTTCAACCTCTCATCCGTCATGATGTTATTCGAACAAGCATGCAACAGAACATCCCCACGATCATGCAGCAGCTGCTCAAGCTCGCCAACGAGGCCGATATCGACGCGCTTGCCAACGTTATGGAGGATTTCGTTGAGGTCTTCGCCACCGAGCTTACGCCCTTCGCAGTAGCTCTGAGCGAGCAGCTGCGAGACACATATATGAGAATCATCCGAGAGCTCCTTGAGAAGGAGAGCAAGGTCGGTGACGATGGCGAGCCCTATAACGAGTACGACGACAAGAGCATCACTGCTCTCGGAGTTTTGCAGACCATTGGTACTCTGATCCTTACCCTCGAGAGCACCCCCGATGTCCTGCTTCACATCGAGGCTGTTCTTATGCCAGTCATCAAGGTAACACTAGAGAACAAGCTTTATGATCTTTATAACGAGGTCTTTGAGATCATCGATAGCTGCACGTTTGCCGCCAAGTCCATCTCGCCCACTATGTGGCAAGCCTTCGAGTTGATTCACACTACGTTCAAGGCTGGTGCTGAGTACTACCTGGAAGATATGCTGCCTGCTCTGGATAACTTTGTCCAGTTTGGTGCTCCTCAGCTTGCCCAGAAGCCTGAGTACACTCAGGCTCTTTATTCTATGGTAGCTGATATGTTCACGGATAGCATCCAGGGTGGAGTTGAGAGGATATGTGCCTGCAAGCTCGCCGAGGCTATGATGCTCAGTCTGAAGGGACAAATTGACAGCTGCGTTGAGGGCTTCATCAACATTGCCATGGGCATCCTTGGCAACCAAGATGTCAAGGTCAAGAGCTACCGCATTCACCTCATGGAGTTGGTGATCAACTCCATTCACTACAACCCCCTCCTTACACTCCAGGTTCTTGAGAACAAAGGTTGGACAAACCGCTTCTTCAGCCTTTGGTTTGGCAGCATGACATCTTTCACCCGTGTTCACGATAAGAAGCTATGTATCGTCGCTATCTCTGCTCTCCTTAGCCTTAGCCATGAGCATGTCCCATCCAGTGTGTCAGTTGGCTGGCCCAGATTGCTACAGGGTATCACCGAGCTGTTCCGCACCCTTCCCGCTGCCCAGAAGAGTAAGTTACTGCCAATCCACACCTGTATTGAGGGGTCGAAACTGACAAGTCACAGACCGTGATGAGGCTCTCCGTGATGACTTCCACCTGGAGTCATCCTACGATTACGGCGAGGAAGACGAGTGGGACGATGACGAGGCCAATTGGAACGTCGATGAAGAGGAAGAAGCCGACGAGACCAACGAGTCCAAGGATGAGAGCACTGCTTACCTCAACTTCCTCAACGAAGAAGTAAGTGAAACAACCCGTTTGGATCAGTGTTTATTACTTACAAAACCTTAGGCCCAGAAGTTCAGCCGAGCAATCGATGATGTTGAGGAGGACGACATGGGCGAGGACTCGGTCCTGCTCGAGTCACCACTTGACAAGATTGAACCTTATCAGCTCTTCCGTAATACTTTGATGAGTAAGTCAGCCTGATGCATCTTGTTGAACATTACTGACTTTGGTAGAAATGCAACAAGAACAGCCCCAGTTCTATAGCAGCCTTGCTGGACACCTCACAGCTGATGACCAAAATGTGATTCAGTCGGTGATGGTCAAGGCTGACGAGATTGCCGTGCAGCAAGCTCAACAAGCCCAGCAAGCCCAGATTCTGGCTCAACAACAAGCTGCTACTATGGCTGCCAACCTTGGCGCGGCCAACGGTGGTGCTAGTTAATGCGGTAGCATGGATGGTTGGCAGAGAAAATAAGTTATTGAAGTTGTTCCTACCCCCTTTGTTATATCCCCTTCCTCTTTCATGTTAGGGCAGGAGTAAAGATTCCCCGGAGACCAAGAGAAGTGTTGAGCCCATTAAAAGAGAGAGAATTTAGAACGTGCAAACAACGATGAACCCATCTGCTGGAGGGCCCTTCAAAAGAGTGCCGTGGGTATGATTGGTATAGTGGGAAACTGGATCGAGAAGCCACTTGGCAAGAGTTTTTTTCCGGAAGGGAATGAGGCGTTCGCTGATGGGAAATGACAAAGACACGACAGTGACGAAGAGGACGAAGATGCCCCAAGCAGGAGACGAGGAATTCGAGAGTGAGTTGAGATGAGAAGAGAAGTTGTCCAGGGGCCAAAGAATCGAAAGCCAATTCCCAACGAAATAGTTCAAAAGTAAACCAAATAAAATCGATACAGTTCCAGACTCTGCAAAGCCTACTAGAATGATGGTGGTAGTATTTACTACTGCCAATGAGGTTGTGGCCGAGTGGACCCCCACGGGCAGCAAGCTCAAAGTCTTGCCCTCAGCCGAATGTATCTCAACCAACAACACGACCAAGACATGGGCCAAAATTTCACTTGAGCGTATCTGAACTGGCATAGGTTCTCTTCAATTGAGAAGCTGTTATCCCCTGGCTCACAGGGTGTTATTCAGTGAATTTATCTTAGTGATCCAATTTGGAGCATGCATGGTAGCCTCAAAATCAAAAACTGATAGGCTCTTACTCACTTCCAGGCAGCCCTGCCTCTGGGAATTGACCACTAACAGTTAGGTATTCATGAATATTTATCACTCCATGAACTCTTCGAGCGCGGCTCAATCTATATAATATTTGCTAAAGCCTCTTCCAAGTCAAATTTATGCGGCAATACATAATACCGAACAGGTATTTGCCGACATTCGATAAGCGGTGCTCAGCCCTTGAAGATTACAAAGAGACTCGTCAGCTATAAGGCAATAATACACTTTGAGGCCAGCCAAAAACATTTGAGGGTTCGGGGGATAAGTGAGAGGGTACTAAAGCGCCCTTGCTGGCTCTGTATTCACTCAGAATCTCACTTCCTTGAGCAAGGGCTTCGCATCAATCACAACCGTGATGGCAAGTAAACCAGCGTACTGCGTAATGCCTCGGTTATTCGTGGCATAGGTAAGAAAATGATTACAGGGAATTTCTTGGGTCTACTCATGTTGTCAGTCTACCTATAGATCATCTATAACATTCATTTGGGTCAAAATTATCACCTTAGTCTGAAGATACCTGTCGTGAACGCCCTGACATCGCGAGCTACCTACTACCTATGATGGACCATCGATAATCTGGCATCTCGATTTAGGCATCAGGTACTAGCACAAAGGTTCACTTTCCCATATTCACAGTATTGGTCTAGAGATTCTTCCTAGGTAGGTACCTATAATTGGTAAGGTACCTACCTAGGTACCTAGGTATCCAGAAATGTATTGGTAACCCAGGCAGGAACCTAACATTAGGCCGTTAAGAGTCTGGGCAACGACTTCCACCTTCAACCACGACGAGCTTCTCCCTCCTACAACTCCATTTCATCATTTACCAATCTTATGAATTGTATAAGACAACCGTCGTACAAACTCGATATCTCCACAACGCCTCTTGCTTGCATTTCCCATGGATCAAATCACCTTTGGATGCCATGAACATCCTACTAAATCTCGATGAAAGCTCAGCCCGGAAAGAAGAGGCATGTTCATGCTACCCAACGCCCGTCCAGGAATACACTTTCATTCAAAGGAGTCTTGAAAGTATACCAGGTCTCAATAAGATATCACAGCCTTGTAGGCTTCTGCTTACAACTCGGGCTTTGATTGCAACTTTCTCTCAACCACAAGACCAAAACTCGGCTTGGAGAACCATCAACAATACCTGGAACATGCCAGAACACCAAAGATGTCCTGTGGCCCCCCTGTACCAACACTTCTGTTATTGCTACACCTGATCCAGCCTGCAGGATATGTCGGCAGTACTTCTTCTAGCTGTATTGCACATCTACCAGGCTCTAGGCTCAAAATGTGGGACCAAGGCAACCTGAATAAGTCATATAAGTATAGCCTTTTTTCTCCTCCTCTTCATCTCTATTTGTGTCCCGTCTAGCTCTTGTCGACTATTTCCATTTGCTATTGCCAGGACTCGTCTTGTAAGGCCCAGCCAAGACGCAGGAACTTGTACGCTGTGAACCGATCATTCATACTCATATATCCATCAGATCACATACGTGAGTTACAACACCGCTATCGAATGCTACATAATCTACAGAGGACTAACGGAACAGCCATATGTATACTTGAACGATTCGCTTATCGTACAACCGATCAAATAGAAGCATACGGACGGGAACTGACGCCTGAAGTGTCATGAAAGTATTCAGATATTGAACAACACATCCAAAATCAGAAGGGCAATGTCTTTGACTGGTTTTTGCGACTTCTGGTATTTGCCAGGAACAGTTACCAGCTGGGAATACCTACCTCTTTGTCACCAATGCGCAACATCGCTCGACCTGTCAGCCTTACAGTGGAATCGAACCATTGCGCCCCCTTGCACAAGTCCTATGAATGTACTCATTAGTGTTTTCCAAAGTCTTGGTACATGGATGCCTTATTCGCTTGAGTTGTATTCGCTTACAATCATATGTATTTATGCTGACACGCTGACATGCTGACATGCAGATAATCACATATTGCATTATGGGGTACAAGCTGGCATCAACTTTGGTGTCCCGCATGACAGGAGCTCAACCGATACCAGGGAAGCAGAGCCTCATCTCTCTGATATCATCTCCTTCTTCTTCGGGCTGGCTCACGGCCCTCCGCCCGACTTCTCTGGTGCTATTAGCCATCCTTGGTAGCGGGTGATTGCATCGCCAGCTGTTATGAGCGACCCCACGCTAAGAGACGACACCCCGCCTTGCTCTATCAACATACACTCCTATTTCTACACTTACAAAGTTGGCAAACAAAAACGTACACAGGATTTTCACCCAAGCTTGCTCCGTACCGTTAGTGGAAGCTCCGTCTAGGGTACAGCGCTTTTCAAGTCTCCATTATTGTCGTAGTTTGTTTGTGTATTAACCTGCTGAGGTTTAGCAACTACGACAATAACTAGGGGCTTGAAAGCGGGCAACGATTTGTTATTATCCTACCTGCACACTTACAATTATAATGGCGGTCCCTACAAGCCAATTTGAGTCTAGGGAGGCATTGGAAATAAACTCCGGACACCTCTGCCACCGCGTGGCTTAGGTTTGGATATCATCCAGCGGAGCCTCGTAGCTCCCAGGCCCTTTCAACAGAGCCCTGGACCTAATTTTGTGATCATAGACTACCAGGCCCATTTTACATTCGATCTTCAACCTCCTTTCCCACTTCCTCCGGACTACTTCGATGAGGCGGAGCTTATTTCGAATTGCATGCTCATACCGCTCTTGGATCATGCCCGAAAGCATAGCAAGGGCAGTTCGGCCACCGACAGTTCTCATCCACTCCTTTCGAAAGCTTGTTGAACGTATCGCCAATGATTCACGGATAAGGTGACTTGACTTAGTTTCATGATGGGTCGTCAGGGTTGAAAGACAGTCAACGCTTGTTCATCTTTCGCTTTGAATTATGCGAAGCCCGGACATGCCATGTATAGTCACATGCCACACGCACCAATGTCATTACAAGAATTACGATGTTTGTTTTGACCTCTTTCGCTACGCAAAGTTGGTCCAAGCGATCCCGAGCTAGACTGTCATGGACATTACAATTATGAGGCTTGGGAGTATCTGGTGAAACAATTCTTCACCTTGTGAATGACAAACCGCCTCAGGGTCTTGCCTCCCGTTTTGACTGAAATCGTTGGATAAGATGTTGTAAGTTCCTGTCAATCTGTGAGTACTTAAACATGCATTGGATCGCTTCTTCAAAAGCTTCTGTTATTATCATCCTCGTCATCACCATCGAGTTTTATCCATCTCTCAGTCTTAAGGCCCCAACACAACAAATTTTATTTCGAAACTACTGCACTTATCTACGGTCTTCATCCGCCAGCATGCCCGACACCACCACTTCATGTTTCTTCACTTGCTGCCGGTGCAGTGAGTACAGCAGAATGAGTGCCGGCAAGATATGTTTCAGTTGCGACCACAAATGTTGCAAGCACTGCACTCTGTTTACTGCAACGGTTTAAAACGGGCAATACATGGCTCTTTGGAATTGTTTCTTTTCCTCAAGCTTGCTCAAGATACACTCGGGATACGAGAAACGGTCTGGGAAGAAATGACACCAACTTCTATCATCAAGCAAGTAAGGGGATAGTTCCCAAATCGTCTTAATACCCCTTTGAAGCACCTGGGGGTCAACGTTTTCTCTGTCGAAGATATCTCCAAGTTTTCATCGCCACGAGATGCTCCTCGAGAAGACTAGAGAACCAAACAAGTCTGTCAAGCCGGGTATGACAATACCAACACCATTATCGCCTATGTTCATCGAATTCAGCAACAGATCTCATAAGGATTAGACAAAACGATGGAGAACAGTACATCACCCTGGGACTCGCGTCCCGAACAAATAGGCGATATTCTGATAGCAGTGCATTCAGACTCACCTCTTCTCTTCAATCTTGCTTTTTACCATCAGCGACTCCATAACCCTGGAGCCTCTTGGCGGAAGTTTACGCAGCCTTCTAGCCTTGCTGTGCCTGTCGATATACATTTGACAGCTTATCCTCCCTCCCTTTTCATTTCCTATAGTCATGTTTCGCATTTGTACTGTCTTAAATTGCTTCCGTCCCTTATCTTTGTCTGTCTTTCTCATTTATTTTCGTATTTTCTTTTGTCTTGTTGCCTTCCCGATTTGAACTCGCACTGTAACATGTTAAACGTGTTGCCTGCGACAATTACTTACCCTTACCATGTATTCTTAGAACTATAGACATTTACTTTGACTTTTTTACAACTGCAATGTTGACCTTCTTCGGTTTATTATACACGAGTGCCATTGGGGAGTACATATGTACTCCTTCATCTAACACAAAACAAGATCAATTGCCTCATAATTTCTAATATGACAGTGTCTTTTATCAACAAATACAACAGCGTAATTGGTTTAGTGGTAAAATTCTCCGTTGCCATCGGGGAGCCCTGGGTTCGATTCCCAGATTACGCAGTATTACACCCACATTTGCAAGTTCGTCTTTTGCCACGCCTTAATTTTTGCTTCTCAAATGTGTCGGTTTAGAGTTCAGATATGGTGAGGCGACTAAGTGCCCTGAGAACACCATCGCAGGCCATGTGCAGCCCCTGAACAAGAGGCACACCAAGGTTCCAAACGTTTCAAATCTCCATAAATTGATAAGAATTATCTTCAGTAATTGAAAGAGAGGCCAATATAACGCTCTCATGCGCAATGCGCATTTTCGTTCTGCCTCACCTCTGCGCAATATGCAAGAGTGGAAGAATGTGTTGTCCTCGCGCAGTCACTTTAGCTCTATGTACTGCCTCGTTTTCGCCCTGTTCCACTCGTGAAAAGACTGAGGAGAATCCATAGTACCCCATACTATTTGGCAATTACAAACATGATCGACGTGTGACAGCTGCGAGTTGAGTCATGCGTGGACCGCATATCGCAAAAATAAAGCCTGGTTACCACTGAATCACGATAAACAGGCTTGCAGCACTGATCCTGGCCAGTCACATCCGTCAAGGCGCATTCTCGCATTGCAGTATAATCACGGGAAAGAGAAATACAAATGCATCAGGACAATACGACGTAAGATAACTAGATAAGCAAAGCAACATATCTCCCTTGACAGCCAACTGTTCCTTGTACTGTACAGCGAATGCCCAACCTCCCTTGTACGCCCTGGCGCCTGTGATTAACGAATTCAATAATGGCGAAGCAACAACATCAAACCCCGAATTTCATCTTTCCTGACCTTCCTCTCGTACCTGTCCGTATCCCTCCCTAATTCATTTCCTGACTGGACCGGAACCGAGATCGAAACCAAAGACAACCCAGGTTCGTCCGTCAGAATGCCTCGTTTATTCGCACATAAATTCCTATCCCAACATCATCATCTCTTTGAGGTTCTTTAATCATCTGCCACCACCATGATCTCTGCGTCACGCGAAATATCCAGCGCCTGTCGAGATGACGCAGTTCGAGATGATGCCTTCGTCTTTCTCAGACTAGCTGTTGTCTTGGTCGTCACCTTGGCTGTCAGCTTTGTTACCGAAGAGCCCTTTGCTCGGCTTGCTGCGACAAGCCCAACACTAGTGGCTCGGTCCGATGCTCGCTTCTGGGGCGTGCGTGAGTATGTCTGGATGACTCGCTTTGTCGTCGTCTTCTTGAGAAGCGCTCCCGTAGAGACACGTCGCTTTGCAGGTGACTTTGAACCTAGTGTAGCTTTCTTAGCTGTTGTAGTCACTGTCTTGACACTCTTCTTAAGAGCAGTCGCTGCGCCCTTTGCAACCTTTGAGCCGGCGTTTGAGATTGTTCTCTTCACTCCCTTCGCTGGTTGTATCTTGCGCTTCTTTGCCTTGCTGCCGCTGTCTCCGTCGTCTCCGATAAGCTCCTTAAGCTTGCGTTTTCCCGCTTTGACAGCGCCCTTGACAACATTCTTGAGATCCGTCTTGGGCTGCTTAACTTCGCGAGGCTTGGGACCAAGAACGCCGCGGCAGTTGGGCTCGCCGCAAAGGCACCTCTGCACATTCTTCGCCGAGAACGGGTCAAAATTATAATCATAGGTCAGCTCATCGCCTGTCATGATGGGCTTATCGCCAGCAAACAGGGCCATTCGCGGCTGTCCGGAAACGATCCATTTAATCATTCTGCAATTTGGGTTGCAGCTGTGGTTCACGAAACGCGCGATGCTCCCTGTGGTTGCGTCGATAATCATGTTCTGGTCGAAGCTCATGAGATAGTAGCACTTGGCTTAGTCAGTTATTTGTCCAATAGAAATCATGAAACGACTTCGAAACATACCTCATTGTCCCTGTAGACCTCTGTCATACGGCGCTCACACTCGTCCTCTGTAATGATCTCGCCAGCATACTCCATGATGATTTGGTTAGGTCTGAAGCACCGGTTGCTGCGCACGCCATGTCCACGGTCTGAGGTCTTGATCACTTCAACACCAACTCTGTACTTTCCACCCCTGTTTCGGCGCGCAGTGAGAGTGGCAAATGCGCGATTGGTACAGTATTTTTTACCAGCGTTACAGTTCTGTTCATCGCATTCGTAAAGCATGATTCTATTCTGGCAGCTCTCGCCACAGCCATCTTCAGGCTTGCAGACACACTTTGAAGAGTAGTCATGGAAGTGAGGAGACTTTCGCCAATAATCCTTGGATTCGCCGATGAATCGGTCTAAATCATGTTAGCGACAACCTTGTACGTGGTATCTTTGGCCCAGAACTTACTCTTTGTCATCTTCTTCCACTCATCAGGCTTAGGTTGGCCTGGTGGAAGAGGGTGGCAAACTTGGTATGGCAGCTTGAAGTCACGGCCTTCGATGAGTGTGCGCAGGCCATTGAACATAGGCAAAGGCATCGTTTTGTTGACACGACCGCTTGGAATAAGCTCAGGAAGCTGAGCCAAGGTTTTCTTCTCTCCCATGGTCAACCCCTTGGAGATATCAATGGGGGCGTCCTGGCCTGCATAGAGACCCTTGTCAAGATACTTCTTTACCCGACGCTTCCTGATGTTCACGACAGGCTCGGGTTCCGCTTCCTTGGGCTCCTCGGTGGTAGGTTCGGGCTCGGCCTTCTTTCGAGATGGGGGCGCGGGTGCTTTGGGGTCAACGAATTTACCGTTTGACCACACGCTCTGGATTACAGGCTTTTCGTCAATGTGGGCGAACTCCTTGGTATCTTGCAAGCGCCTAAGCTCGAGTGACATGGGCGTTTCAGCCTTGTCGACGGACTTGCGACTGCGTTTAGTGATCTTTGATTTCTTGTTGGTGGGTGTAGCTGCGACGGGCGCAATGGCACTGGAGCGACGCGTCGAAGGGCGTTTGTTTGGTACAGTGTCCTCAGCCAGTATTTGACGACGAGTGCGTGGGGAATCAAGTTTGCTGGCTGACTGTGTGACTCCCAGTGCGTCAATGCCACTGTGGACGGTTTCGGGAGTTGTGCCCTGAGCTGCGCCAGAACTTGTTCCGTTGTCATCGGCTGAGACTGGGCCAGAGACGGTTCGTCTTCGTCGTCGATCGGCGACAATGTCTCCTTTAGCGCGTCGCTTTCCATGACCAGCTGTACCGCTCAATTGAACCAGATTGTAAACCGGAGCGCTCACGCGGTCGCGGCGGGAGCGCATGGGGGCAGGTGGTGGCGGATTGGCTGGGTTTACGGGCTCTACAGGTTCGATGGGGTCGGAGGTGGGAGGCGCGACTTGGGGAGAACCAATTTCGAGTACAACGTGAACGACATCGCGCTTGGGAGAATCGGAGGGAAGACTGGCCTCGTCGGAAACAGTAGTGGGGGGTGTAGAAGTCGCGGACACGGCATTAGAAGATGAATCGTCCGTGACGCCAACCTCAAAGATGGGTTCGGCGGGCAAGACGAGAGCCATGGCGGCTGAAGTGCTCGCCTGAAGCGTGTAATAGGCTGTGGAGGACGCGAAATGTTTAGCAACAAGAAATCATCCAAGATGTTGAAAAGTAATACAAGTGGATGATTCGAGTGTATTAAAAAGTCAAAATAATAGAAATGAGTCAAGATAGTGCGATTGAGAAAAGTGTTGTTGAGGGAAAAGGATAAAGGCAAAGAATAGAGTGTGTGAAGAGGTAAATGAAAGTGAGAAGCAAACGCGGCGCGCGCCAGAGATGGGAGTGGGAAGGAGAGATGGAGTGGGCGACTAATAGTCGACTAGGTGGTAGGTGGTGCTTGGGGTGCTTCCCCCCCGCGCGCCGGTCCAACCTTCCTTTAGACTGGTCCAGGGCAGGCAAATGGAAGGAAGTACGGAGTAGGGGTAAGGTCAAGGCCAATGCTAAAGCTTTGAGTACGTACCTACCTCTCAAGGACTCTCCGTGTATCCGTAGGTAAGAGCAATAACACCCGAAAAAGGAGGAGAAGGGGAGGATCAGATTCGGCGACCGAAAAGAGGATGCGGAGAGGGATCCCAGTAAACGGAAGGTAAGTCTGGGTGCGAGTTGATCCAAGAGAAAGAAGTATCGGTTTAAATATAGGCACGCGATAAAAAGTGAATCACTCTTGTTTCGGTCGAGAAAACGCGTATCAGAGATACAAAAGACTCGATATAATCAAGGTGTTGACACAGACGCACAGGTTGCTAACATTGGCTCTGGGGCTTGGGGCGCGTTGTTCAGTTGATGTAAGGAAAAAGTGGGATAAGCGGCCCAGGGACTGACGTGACAGGAGTGAAAGGGCAACAAAGACACGGGTGGTGGAGGGAAAAGGGAAGGGAACCTAAAGAGAAGAGAGTCATAGAGACGAGAGGCTGAGAGATGAGAGTCGAATAGTGGAGAATAAAGTCTCGTGCCTATGAGTGTAATACACACGACGCCAGTATCTCTCTCCTCTTAGACTTAGACTTTTGATACGCCTAAGCCAGGCTGGGGTTTACTTACTCTGTGGGAAGAGGAAGAAGAAGAGAGGTTGGTGGAAGATGAAAAGACAAGGGGAGTTTGGTTTGTTCGCCTCCCCCTAAAGTAGAATAAAGAAGCAGAGGCTGAATGATGTAAGGAGGAGAAGAGAGGAGAGGAGACATCAACAATCGGATGCACGTAAAACGTGAGTTTCCATCCTAGACCAGGCCAGGCCCGGCCTCTAGTCCCCCAATAACTAAAGCGTAACTGCAAAAGTGCCTATAGAATTTGAAAAACTGCATTGGATTCTATGGCTTTACTCAAAATGCGATTCTATCAGTATGCGCTTTATATCGCTCGAGTTACAGCCTGCATCTCGAATATCTCCTTGTTCCGCTGCTTTGCCACTTCAAGCCTCATTGATATCTGACTCAGATATTACCACGTTCAACCGGATGATTCAATACAATGCACTCGCTTAAAACAATCAACAGTGATATACCGCGAAAATTGCTATGCACTGTTGAGTTATTTCACAGTTACGCTGCTTGCACTCGACGAGATAGCCTCATTGACCAACATCTCGGCTACCGAGCCCTAGGTGGCATGTTTCGACACAGACGTGATCGTCATATAAAAAACAGCCTCTCAGGCTTGGATAAAATCGGTATGCCCGGGTCAACAATAGCCAATTTCATCAATCTCCGAATTTCTCGTGAGCGATGTTGCGCTACTCAGGGGCCAGAGTGCGAGTTACCCCCGAAAAGGCCGGATACTGAGGCTCTCATGACACTCTCGACTGATGAACACTGTCCACCAAACGGAGGGTTTTCCGATATTTGTATCTTTGAGGTAGAACCGAACGATGAATATTACTCTCGGATCAAGATCAAATAATTTGAGGTCTATTCTGCGCTATTGCTTCTTCACTCTGTTAGACTATGCTCGATCGCCCCAAAACAAGGATCCCTAATCTTGATGTCGGCCAACACTCCCTTGCAGCGAGGCAAAAATCTATTACTCCAGTTTCAACCTCCGTAAGTTTATATGCTACACAGCGTCTTTTAACAGGTCTGTATTCTTTTAACCCGCTAGAGTCTGTTGACAATATGCCCCATGTTGCCCATGTAACCTGAGGGATCACCAAGTCACGGGTTCTTGATCCGGGCCTCAGTCCCCTGCAACTCCAGCACGGCCACGGCCACGGCGATACACACACCGCATCCAGCATTTCAGTATATATCATCTATGCCATATGTCAGTTGCCGTGATCTCATTCGTCAGTGCGAGTCGCTATGCCACAAAACACTTGCAACATGGTGCGTATCTTTACTCAGGGTTGCTAGTATCTCAATATCCAGGCAGACTCTAGGTACGTCGAGCCATCTGCACATGCCATATCGTCATACTCTTTTTTACAACTCATTCAATTCACCGTCTGAGGAGTGGGGAGGCTATATTCCAAAATGTGAGACTGTTGTTACTCCATCAATTCTCTCGACTTCTAAAAGTGACGTGCTGGCTGGTACCCATGTTTACAGCCAAAGATAACCTCTACCCAAGAATATCAAACTCGTATCAATCACGCGTCTCAGTTCAAGCGTTTATATCCTTTCAAATCTAGAGTCCAGAGATACTTGCTCAGAATTGTTTTATCCCGCCCCATTGGCGTGCTATGCTAGATACGCGACATCTAGTGTGATAGATATTTCGGTTCATCACATGTTCGAGCACAGCAAAGTTCTGTATCAAGACATTACTAGGGCATTGAGTCATTTCTAGTTAATGCAATTCGTTTCCCAACAGCCTGTAGAGACTGAAAGGCTCTGTCTTATCTTGACGATAATCACGCTACATGTGGAGTGGAAATTGACGCTATCGAGACAAATACTATATTGGAACAATCGCTACTATTGGCGAAACCTACCTTCCTACGATCTGTATTTCCCCCCTCGGGTGTACTACTTGACACGCAAATTAAGAACAGCTATAGTAGCATCGATACAATAGCATTTACGCTGCTGAGCTTAGTAGTAGGATGGCAGCATATGTTCTCACCCATGTCTGCATCTCTTTGTGTTCCATAGTACCGTGTCCATCAAAACCGTGCTAACGCCTGGTTACTTGCTTATCGTACCGCAAATAAGACCATACTATTCCTCAAAAGAGTCATGGTCTTATCGGCCTGGTTATGATCACACCAGAAGGATGCCCGGTTCCATACCCTTGGCCTTCTATACCATAACTTCAGGGTAGAGCCACCGGGGACATCGCGGTAACAATGGTTTTTGCACATTAAAGTTCAAAACAAACATCTCAATTCACGGTCTATTTTAAAAGTATAATATCTCTCGAGCGGTGCTTTTCCGACAACTAGAGGGGGTATTGTTTATGGTATCAAATCGCACAGTTGCTTGGTATCCTTCACTCTCTCATCTCAACTCTTTTTCGCTAAACACAATTTAAGCAGCTGTTTCCCTCTTCTCGGCTCCGGCAGCAGTGGCCTGCTTCTGCTCAGTTTCCTCAGTTGGGTTGACGCTCAGCTTCTCAAGGGCCTCCTCAATGGGCTTCTCGCCAGCCTGCTCAACTGCTTTCCCGGCCGTCTCTGCTTTGGCGGCTTCCTCGGGAGCGGGAACTGGGGCTGGAGCAGGTACGGCAACGGTTGGCTCAACAGTATTAATCTTCTCAGCAACGGGTATAGACTCGACAGCAACAGGAGCCTTCTCGGCAGAGGTAGGTTCAACATCGTGAGAGGGTTCGACGACAGGAGTAGGCTCGGTAGCAGCACTCTCGGCGGGAGTCTCGCCAAGATCAACTAGAGAAACAGACTGACCCTCCTTGACACTGGGACCCAGGCCACCGTACTCCTTGGGCAAAGTAGGAGCAATGCTCTTCAGCTCTGTAGCCAGGGTAGTGCCAGAGGACATGGGATGGAACTTGCGAAGGGTAGCAGGAGCCAGGAAGAGCTTCATGGCGCCAAACATCCACCCCATAATGGCAGGAACGTTGACAAAGTACTTGTGAGCAAGCAGCTCTGGGTAGGCCATGGAGAAAACAGAGATGGTCTCCTTACTGGCGGCCTTGACAGCAGGGTCCATGCGGAAGAAGCTGACACTGAGATAGTCATGAACCTGGATCATCTGGTAAGGGTCCTCGCCTCCTTCGGGAATAGGCCCAGTGACCTGATCCAGCTTGAGCTTCTGGACGCTGAGCTCCATGATGGCAGCACGCCACTTAATGAACCTGATACAGCATTAGCTAAGCTCTGACGTATGAGCGGATCAGGCACTCACTCGTCAACATCGCCGAAAGTGGCCTTGTTGTTCTTGACGGCACCATAGATGTTCCAGGTGATGATGGTTTCCTTGCCATTCTCTCCCTTGTGGGTTGTGACGAAACCAAGATCGCCGAACTTGGTCTTGTCAAAGGTCTGAGTGACCAGCGCTGTGGGGTTCATCTTCTTGCGCCACTCCAGAGCTTGGGTAAGCTGCTTCTCAGAGGCAACAGGGTCATCATTGTTGGCGCGGAGGAACTTCTGGAGAACAACCTTTGTAGGGACATGATCGATGTTGGAGAGCTGGACACCCCACATCTCTTTGTGCTGAGCCTTGCTGAAGATGTCATCCAGACGTCCATTGAGCTTGGTCAAAGGTGTTTCCGGGGTTGAAGCTCCGGCTTCAGACACGGGCTCATCAGCAGCCTTTACAGGAGCATTGGGGGCAGGCTCGACGACAGAGGGGGCTGCAGGCGCCTCTGCGGGAACAGCAGCGGCAGCGGTCTTGTCCTGCTCGGCAGCCATAATTGGGGATGTGATATTGAGAGGTAGTGAGGGTCTGTGATGAAGAAATGGCAGGCGATTGTCAGATGATGCTGTTTATAAACCAGACTTGACGAGTCTTGTCTGACGTGGCTCGTGAATGGGTTTCTTTTTTGGTACAGACACCGAGCGAGACGGAAACGGGAAGCGACGTCGAGTAACGTACGGAACACAGTGAAGAAAAGAGAAGAAGAGAGAGGGCAAACACGGGAAAGTGAAACTCCTTGCAGAAGATTGATTATTTGTTTGCTCAGAGAGGAACCGAGATGCGTACGGAGTAATATAGGTAACAAGCTGGGAGGTTAGTCAGGTACCTTATTATTAAGGGAGACAGGCACATAGGTACTACCTTAGCACCCGCCGCCAATGTGGGCGGAAACGAGGCGCCTTTGGCTGTCGTTACGGCAAGTGGAGATGAGTGCCGCTGTTACAGGGACCCCTACGCAGCTTGTCATTGGTCGGCAGATAAACATTCATACTGGGCTCGCATGGGCCGCCGCCATTTGACACTTTCAGGGGTCACTCACTATGATTTCAGCGAGCATTGGGAGCTAGCTACCCACTAAATCGTGCCGATATTGGATTAATTAGTCTCCATAATCAATTCCCGAACCTTAGGTACCTTATCCTTATGCACACGCCCTACCTGAGGCTGCCTTTGCGTTTGAGTATGAAGTAGGGGTCCATTAAGGTACTTGACAAATGGCAAACGCGCAACGGCCAATAAGCAGCTTCAGAACGTCATGTGGAACTACGCCCCTTGTCAAACAACGACAATGAAACACAAAGAGCAACACTCTGAATTGTTCATCACTGTGTGGATACACATATCAGAAGCAGCAAACCCTCCAAAACGTTTTCTTTTTCTTTTCAGTCTTCATATAGCCAGTGAAACTACCGCAGATGTACAAGCAATGAATCTCGAAACCCAACCCACTAGAGTGTCCCCTTTTTATATAATCTTTGGCTGCCATCCATCCTCGCCCACGAATCAAGTCCATCGTATTAGTGCGCCGCAGATTCTTCTCCATCCCGCCTTCCTTGGTCCTCTAGCCTTGGCCCCGAGTAGTGAGTCGACAAAATGCTGAGTCCCAAATATCAACGGGCGAAGTAGTGCCCGCAATCAAGTCGAAGCCTGTATCTGAGGGGTCCTGGGTGTGGAAAAGGGCAGCCAAAGCTCACTGGTTTAATGAATCCAGCTGTATGCAATAGTTTTGATAAAGTCCGAAATGAAACCTGAAAGAAAAGCTGAAATGAAGACCTGTCCATGCGTCGATGTGGAACCAGAAGGTCGCGTCGAAAAAGCAAATGCAAAGGGGAAATGGTGGTGTGCGAGATCAGGGGAGAGGACCAGGTCAATGCAAACCCGATCGACCAGGAAAGGCCGGTTCCATACAGAGTAGACATTCCTCAGTTATAGCCTAGAGCTCGGCCAAGAATTCTCTCGATAGCCGAGAGCTCGAGGTAGGCACAGTCTCCCAGAGACATGTGATCAAACTGAGGACCCTGAATGTAGTTTACCTCATGGAAGAAGTAGCCCCAATAATCATCAGTGTCCTTGAGTGTCTCCTGGATGGCGGTGCGCTCATGGATGGGACGGACGAAGACATCGCGAGTAGTTTGCTCACGAATAAGGCGGATGTACCAGTCAACAACGTCCAGAGGAACCTCAGGCTTACGCATGATTGCGTACTGGTGAACCCAAGAGTTGGGGTTCAATGGCTGACCGTGTCGACGCTGTTGTTCCATGGGGGGCGCCAGCTGAACCATGAAGGCAATGTTGTCTTTCTGAAGGACGGTAAACCCCTTGCAACCCATAGCAGTTCGGATAACACGCTGGAAAAGGGAGGAGTTGAGGTTGACAGGATCATCTTGCTGGGCCATCGATTTACTGAGCAAGCGAATCAGTTTAATGGTGGCCTTGTACATGGCACCGCGTTGCGAGATCGTGACGTAGTTGGCAGCAAACCAAGGGAACTTTCGCAAGGTACTGATGAGGCACTCATAGGGGCGCTGGGGGCACTCTTTGGAGAACGGAGACTGCGAAACGGAGTCAGTAACACTGTCAAAATATGAGCAACTGTGCTAACTTACTCGATGGGGGACCTCCACATGCTTGACAAGCATGACCATTTCCTCGGGAGAGATGAACCCTTTGAAGTTCGCCCAGGGTTCAACAGGATTGTGGGGAAGAATCTGGGGAGATGCCCCGTCCCAAAACACACCGCGAGCAAGCGGGAAAAGGTCCTGCATAAGAGCGGCCTGACTCGACAACTCAACCTCAACAGGGCGCTCTCCAAGACGACTAATGCGGCCAAGTTGGATGTTCTGATGGTGCTTCTCGGCGCAGCGCATAGCATCCTCCATTGAAACAAACTCGACAAAGGCATCCATGGTTTTAGAGGTGGCCCGATCCATGATGATGTGAATGGGTTCTTCAACATCGCTCAGCATCCGGCTGTTGCGGCCAATGAACGCCACAACCTCAGATCGTTTGGTAGAAAAAGGGATCTAGAAGAGTCAGAACAAAATACACGGAAAGGGTCAGTGGAGGACTCACGTTCTTCAGGCGAACAACGCCACCAGTAGAGGGCTTGGCCGATCCAGGGCCACTGATGAATGGAAAGTACTCAGGGCTCATGGCGGTTCCCAGGGCGGGAAAGCCTGAGAAGGTACAGGTCAGCTCAGCTAGCTTTTGTGATTTGTTGCCAATGAATTGGACCGGCATCGGGGCAGCGAGCATGGCTTGCTGGACAGCAGGAGGGGGCAGCGCAGGAAACGGAATGAGAGCAGTCGGTTCAGTACGCTCAGGACTGCCAAATGGGTCCTGCGGGCTTGCTTGAGAAGCACTAGACATTGCCTGTAGATTCAAGTCGAAGCGAGGAGGAGGCAAAGCGTTGACAGGCTGGCCGGATGTTCGGGGTGCATAATTGCGCGGCTCTGTCTGATGTTGGTTGTGGCCATGAATGGGACTAGACAGTGATTCACCCATGCCACCGTTGCCGCTGAAATGGTGAGGGGTGTGGGTGTGACCTGGGCTCAACAGGGCAAGACCGGAGTTGTAGGAGACACTCTGAGGCAAACCAGGATTATACGACTGATTGTTGGAAGGCTCGTTGGGGGTGTAGAACCGCTGACCACCAGACGCGGGACCGGAGCGAGCAGAGTGTTGACTACCGGGCTGAGAGGCGGAGTTGGGGCCGCGAGGAGGTGAAAGGAGACCGGTCTGTTCGACACTGCGCGGATCGATGCCTTGAACAGGATGAGTGGCCTAAAATTATGAAGTGAGCGATGAGTCTTATAAGTGCTTTACCATAAATTTATGCCGAAACTCATCATAAGACTATAAGGAGACCATAAAACTTACATAAAGCTGAGCGCCATGTGGAAGACGGTTGGCGATCCCTGAACTTACGAGACGTTGAGTGTTACTGTTCACAACTATGGCTCCGGTAGGAGCTCCGTTTTGCATAGGGAGTGAAGAGCCATTCGCAATAGGATGATGCGAGTTTCTGGTAGACAACGGGACGCCACCGTCAGCAAAACCATGATGGGGAATATCCCCGTTAGTCGTAGAAGCTGAGACACCGTTGACTGTACCTTCGGCCAAATAATTACCGGCGTCTTGGGCTTGGCCTCCCATCTAAGGGGCCGGAGCACTATGGCCAGATGGCATGGATGAGTTGGTGACATACGCGGCACCTTCGACGGGGCTGTTGGGCGGCACAGCGAGCGGTGCGCCAAAGCCATATTCAAGTCCGTTCTGGGGAGAGAACATTCTCATTTGGTGCTGCATATCAGTAAATCCACTGGCCTGAAGGGCATTGTCGAGGGCCTGCTGAGCCGTGGGTACCCAGGAGTTCAAGTTGCCGTTCACCTGCGAAGCGGATTCAGAGTGGTACCCGCTGTCAGTGCCTCGGGATTGTACAGGCTGGGGGTGGAAGGATGGTGACCCGAAGGGCGGGTTTGAGTAGAGGGGGGCCGGGTGCTGGATCGGCATATCTCCATTTCCTTGAGTAATAGGAGGGAGAGACCGATCAGACTGTCCCGCAAAGGGGTCAGAGTGATACGACATGCTAGAGTCGCGGGGCTAGAACTGAAGATATTGTCAGCATATCGACGACATTGGTCAAGGTATTGTTGAGATATATGACATCAAACGCTGCGAGGCTCCACAAGAATATATTTCTTTGTGGCCAAGTTGGGGGGCGGCTTGCGAAGAGAAACTTACCAGTAGGGAATAGGCGCCTATGTGCTTTCGATACGAAGACGCGGGACAACGTAAGAACCGTAACTGTGTTTCCGTACTTGATATTTGGAATGAGTTGTTTGCCTCGTGGGGAAGAGTTGAAAAACAAACGAGATGTTTGAAGTTCAACCGAGCCCGAAGGTGTTTGCGGAGGGGAAAGGAAAAGAGGGAGAGATCAGGGGAGCGTTTGATGATTTTATAGTCAAGCCGATGTGCACACGTGATCGTCCGAACTTCTTTGCACTTCGAGTCTCAGTACCTAGGTACTTGAGACCCTAAGAGGTGGATATTTAGTATAAAGAAGTGCAGGTGAGGATCGAGTAGTCAACCTGAAGGGTGGTCAAGTGATCGTCCGAACTTCTTTTCACTTAGATCCTTAGTACCTTCGACCCCAAGAGGTGGGTATTCAGTATAAAGAAGTGCAGGTGGGGATTTCGTAGTCAAGCCGACAGGCACACAAGCGATCGTCCGAACGCCTTTGCACCCGACAACTCAACGACTGTCTGAACTTTTGCGTACTTGAAATCTCGGTGTTCAATACTCTGAGAACCAAGACAGGGTCGATCAGTGACAGACACCACAACAAGTTCCCTTTCAAGAACCAAGGTGTCTCAGAGTTTGAGATATCTTCTTGACTGCTCAGGATTATGTCGTACGCGAGGTTGATTTGGCCGAAGCTCAAGGAGAGTGACTAGCAATAGAGGAAGAGGAAGAAGAGGAAGAAAGTTGGCCAGGTGAACAGAAAGCTAGGAAACAGCCATGCAATTGTCTCGAAGAAGCACAAGACGTGCACAATATTGTTCCAAGATTGTCAGTGCTGGTAGCTGGTTGCCAGTGTCAGACGGGAATATGTCAAATGGAGGAACAGGGCATTGGCAGTGATTCACTTACCATTGAGCAACTTGACTTCAGCAGTGACCAGTAAATGAAACAATAAGACAAGGATAAGATAACATTAAAGAGTATGATCATATTGATGGAAATGGTGAAAATGATGATTGATGAGTAAAGATAGATAAGTGAAGCTGGCTCTTAGATGGAGTTGATGCCTGCCTTAAATGAGATATTCCACCGCCGACTCGAGGCAATCAAGCCCATACCTCCTTCCTTAATTGGTAGAATGGCATCGGGATGGCCAACATCAATGCTACACTTACAATACTAAAAACCTTCATAGAGAGTAAATTGAGACTTCGTTTCCAGAAAGATGCGCATTTCATTTCGGTATGGTCGGCAAAGTTTATGTCTAATATCGTTCGTTGTCTCGAACCTCTCTCTCCTTACCACAGCATGAAGCTCGCCTATAAGAGACTTTGCAGGTCAATTCTACCACGGTCGATATCTTTTACCTGGTCACAAAAGCATAGTGACAACCGATACTCCCAAGCAAACTCCAAGCCTCAAACCAGCTGAGGGGTTTAGTCAAACTACGAATGGTCAGCGCTGTTGAGCAGGATCACGGCGATGGCAATTGGGGTGGTCTTACAGGTGTAAGGAAAGACTCGGCTACGAATCGTGCTCGGGCGTTCAACTGTAACTGTGTTAGCCTGGTCCCATTGCATGCCGTCATACGATCTAATACTCACAAACAGCTTCATCTCAGAGATCTCCTTGTCGACCTCCTCCATAAACTGAATGATGAAGTCGACAAGCTTGTGCTTCAGCATTTCCTCAGTGTGGAAGTTTGTTATCAAGAAGGAGATATCATAACCCTACAACAACAACGTCAGTCAGGGGTGATTCAATGGCATGACATGGCTAGTAGCTGACCTTGACGGGTTTCCTCCGCAGGATGAAGAAGGACTCGGCACGTTGCGTCAAGAATCTTGTAAATTTGTGGACCAGGATATGCTCAATCTCGTCGGCCTGCTTGATCTTAATACTGATACGGACGGAGTTGATGCTGGGCTCGATCAGGACACGCTCGTTCTCGTTGCGCGCAATGGTCAGGGGTTGCAGAAGGACTTCGGGGGACGTCTGGGCCTCAATCTCTGGAACATTGTGTCGCTCGGCCGTCTGGGAAGCAAAATTGGAGAGCGTGAGCGCAGCGGTCAAGCTGCTACGTACGCATTGCAGGTAAGGCCGGAGGGATTGAGACTGGGCGGGGGATGGCTGTCAGCTTGCGGTCAGGGATCTGATATCGATGAGGATATACCATGGCTACAAACACGTCCCAAGACGTTTTGAATCAGCTGAAAGAAGCAACAATCGAGTGTTGACGGACAACACGGAGCTCGGCGGGGTCGGTCGACGTTGACGTTGACGTTGGAGGTTGGAGCTTCCAAGACGTGAGGCGCAGTTGTTAATGAGGCGTCGCCAGGCCTGACGTCTCCGTGTTTGGGTGGGGCCTGCCTATGATGGGGAAACCTTGGGGACGTTCCAGAGGTTCACGTGTGAGCTCCTTGGTTGTGGCTTGACCTCTCACGAGCCACTCTTTGGTTGCCCCGCGGAAACTACACCGCTTTCCCCACTAACAGTTCGCCTTCGTCCAGGTACCACTTGGTGACGCACCTCGAGCATCTTCTACCTTCTACGCCTTGACCTTGGCAAATACCAACTTTGAGCACATGGTGCAAATTTGATCTTTCATTCTTCTTTCCTATTGATACTCTTGTAATTCCTAGATTTCGGCTTTTAGAAGACGCCGAACCAACGGCATTTTGCTCAGCCAAAGCCTGGTCTACACCCCTCCTCTTCCAACACTTCACGTCGATCAACCGAAAATATGTCGTCCATATCAAGTAAGTTATTCGCTTGCGTTCATGACTCCTCATTATACACAACGTGTGGTAACATTTACTAACGTGCACCAGTCGTGGTGAAACACCAGGGCAAGAAGCACGATGTCGAGGTCGACCCCAACTCCACTGGCGAGGACTTCAAGCTCCAAATGTTCAGCTTGACCAATGTGGAGCCCGAACGCCAAAAGATTCTGATCAAGGGCGGCCAACTCAAGGACGATGCCGATATGAGCAAGCTTGGCTTGAAGCCCGGCCAGACTGTCATGATGATGGGTACTCCAAGCTCTGGCGGTGGTGCACTTGTTCGACCTAAGGAGGTGATCAAGTTTGTCGAGGATATGACGGAGGCCGAACAGGCCCAGCAAGTTGGCGCGACTCCTGCTGGTCTTATCAACCTTGGAAACACATGCTACCTTAACTCGACCCTCCAGACCCTGCGTTTGATCCCTGAACTCCAAGAGGCTCTAGGCAACTACAGCCCTAGCAGCAGCAGCAGTAGCAACTTCATGATGGCTAGCACCAATATGGACCTCGCATCTCAACTGTCGAGTTTGTATAAGAAGATGGGAGAAACACAGGACGCCTTCCCTCCCATGAACTTCTTGAACTCTCTGCGAGTGGTATTCCCACAGTTTGCGGAGAAGTCTAAATCAGGGCAGGGTTATGCTCAGCAGGATGCAGAGGAGGCTTGGTCACAGATTGTTCAGCAACTCAACCAGAAGCTCCGTATCAAGGACGGCGCAAATACTGCCGAGTCTTCCTTTGTCGAGAGGTACATGTGTGGCGAATTCAGTTCGGTCATGGAATGCGATGAGGAGGAAGCTCGCAACGCTGGCGAACAGCCCATCATTAACAAGGAGAGCTTCGCCAAGCTCAACTGCCACATTGACAGTTCGACAAATCATCTGCGAGACGGTATTCTTGCCGCACTCAAGGAGAAGATTGAGAAGAAGTCAGAGGTTCTTGGGCGCGATGCTATCTATACCAAAACTTCCAAGATCTCTCGTGCTCCCAAGTACCTGACAGTACACTTCGTGCGCTTTTTCTGGAAGCGAGAGACACAGAAGAAGGCCAAGATTATGCGAAAGGTGACATTCTCCAAGGAGCTTGACATTGTCGAGTTCTGCTCCGACGAACTGAAGAGCGCCCTCGTTCCCGTGCGCGACAAGGTCCGCGAGATTCGCAAAGACGAAGAGGATATCGAGCGTGCCCGTAAGCGACGTAAGAAGACCCACGACCAGGACGTTGGCGATATCCCTGGCGGCGCCGGGCTTCCCACTGAGAAGGAGAAGAAAGAAGCCGAGAAGAAGGAGAGTAAGGGAGATGGCAAGAAATCAGCGGACGGCGATACCGTCATGGGTGAGGAAGGTGAGACATACAAGACAGATGCCGACATTGAAGCCGAGAGGAACGCCTCAATTCTTGAGGCTAAGAAGGAGCTCAACGCTCTTATCAACCCTGACCTTCGCAACGATGACGGTGCGAACCAGTCTGGTCTTTACGAGCTCCGAGGTGTTGTAACACACCAAGGTGCCAGCGCTGATAGCGGTCATTACACCTCGTATGTCAAGAAGTCTGCACCTATCGATCCTAAGACCGGCAAGAAGGGCGAGGAGGACGGCAAGTGGTGGTGGTTCAACGACGAAAAGGTGACAGAAGTGGAGGCTGACAAGGTCGATACTCTGTCCGGTGGCGGCGAGTCTCACTCTGCTCTCATTCTTCTGTACAGGGCTATTCCCCTGCCCTCCGCTGAGGGTGTTGTGGAGTAAGGAATATGACAGCTGCTTAGATAGGTGGAAGTGTACTACAAGTAGACTGTTGCCTTGATATAAGTATAGCATGATTTGACGAATCAACATGAACAGGGTCCTGGCATGGCAAGGTCAATTAGGCGTAGATGGAAAGCATGGCAAGCAACGCACAGTTGATAAAATACTAATTTTTACGTTGCTAGCCCGCAGAGAATTTGGCCCTGTAATGCGTTTCTCAAGAACATCTTTACAGCGCTGTGTGGTCGGATCCCCAATCCCGTAAATTTACTTTTTCTGCCCGTCCGATAACGCCAGTCCCTGTATAATTTGCTTGTAAAATTACAGTATGATAACACAACACCATCAACCTCTGCTCTCGCCTCTACGACGAACTGTTCTCCTTCCTCGCCTTTTCAGCTGCGCGTTCCTTGACACGGAGCTCGAAGGCATCTATCTTCCTTTGGAGGACTGCTTTCTGTGAAATCAGAGACTTCCGTTGTGATAGGAGAGCAGCTATTTGGTCGTTGGGGGATGTTGCTCGAAATTCTTGGATAGCCTGTTTCTATTGTCAGTGACAAGCTCTCGTGGGTATCCAGGATGTTATCCTACCTCTTTTTTCTCATTGTCCGTCTTTAGCTGCGCACCAGTGATTGTGCCCGCAAAGATACATGCTGCAAAAGCAATTGCCCAGACACCGCGCTTGAACTTTTCCTGCCTTGTCCACTTATGAACAGCCATTGTGCGAGCAACCCCTTGTAGACTCCAATCACCGGGATCACCAGTAACCCCTCCAAATCTCTTCCGAGAACTTCCTACGCTGCCGGGGCGTCAATTGGTGGTAAATGGAAAATGTTAGACTCGACGTCGAATATGTTGACGATGTTGAAGCGTTCGAGTTGGTAGAGCTGAGTGTTGGCCGGGGGAGAACGGATGGAGACAAAGACGAGGATGGAAATGAAACCTGCGGTCTCGGAGGAAGGAAATCGAGCTCAATCGGAGGACTCGGCGAAGGCGGATCTTGAGATAATTCGGAGACGGACCGGTGCCGGGTCACGGAGAAAGAATGGTCGGGATCGCGGAAATTGATGGGGGCCGCCAAGTGGGCCTCTGGCGGTAGCCGTAGATTGGTGATGTGCCTTAGTAAGCAGATTGCAGCTTCAGTGGTGGGGAGGAGGGGCATCATGGGGTGAGATGACGCTGATGTCACAGGAGATGAAAGTGGTGATAATGGAGCGAATATTGGTAATAATTGGTAAGATTATGAGATGTTGCCATTTTGAAGAGTAAGTTAGAGGAAGGTTTCTAGGTCAGCAAAAATGGTACAAAGAAGGTCGAAGGCCAAAGAACAAGTACCCAAAGTTTGGCATGTTCGGAGAGGAAGCAACTGCAATTGAGTTTTTGAGATGGGGTATCTACTACCTACGCAATGATGGAAGGCTGAAATAAACAACTGTCAACTTCTCACTGACCTATAAAAATGCCATGATTATATTTTAGCAGTACATTCAGTTTGTTCTTCACTGCGATCAAGTCCAGCCATGTTCACAATAGCACTTCAGCTCGTATGAAAGATGTACAGAATAGTGCTTCGTTAGCTAGCATTATCAATCAGTAACCTAGCGCGTCTACCAAATAACAGGTAGTCACAAGCGTATTCTCTCTCATGGTACATGTAGGACCCTCTGAGCCTACCTGTAGGTTCCTTCCAATCCCGGACCAGCATCCATTACGTGTAAAGAACGTCAATGGAAGAGCCGGAAGGTGCCCCTCCATGATAGTACCTGACGGACCTGACAGCGGGGTTTGTCAACACAACGTAATCCTTCCATCTCAACACCATAAACAATTTTGAGAATACTCCATTTTCCCTCTTTCCGCTCCTCATTCTGCGGGGGTTTCTCTGGTATATCATTATTTTCCTATATACTGTGCCTCTCGCTAGTGCAGAGATCAACCGCTGGTATTACTTCTTGAACGTCAACTCTCAAGTCCTGGTCATCGTCGTGGTTCGTTGACCCCGCCATAACAGGCCACGCTCAAATTCACATCAGATCACCTTTCAATTCGCCGTTCTAAGAGCATTGCTAATACCTGGTACAGAAGTTCCCAGTCTTTTAAAGATTATATAGAGTCCATCGGAAGTGGATAGACACAGTCCCATTCATCCTTCATTATCAAGCTCTGAATCATGTCGACTCCGCGTGTATTCCTCATTCGTCATGGCGAAACAGAGTGGTCACTCGACGGTCGCCATACGGGTCTGACTGACATTCCCCTTACCGCTGTTGGTGAGAAGCGTGTCAGAGCAACAGGGAAGGCTCTTGTTGGTCCCGATCGCCTTATCGCCCCCAAGAAGATTGCTCACATGTAAGTCATGTTTCCTTGATGCTTAACACTTTTGGCCGGCACCTCAATGTGCCAGTATTCTTGATGCGGAAGCACCCGAGATATTACGCAGTGAATAGCCTCACTTGATGGTTCCCAAGAGAGACAGCGACACACTCCATGCTGGCATACGTCCTATTGTCATCGTACAACCAAGTTCAAGCTGATAGGTTTACAGCTATGTTTCACCTCGAAAGCGTGCTCAGCGCACCTTTGAGCTTCTCAACATTGGATTGAACCGTCCTCTTCCTTGGACACCTCATGGCGCTCCAGGTGGTATTGGTCTCCAGTGTGAGGCCGAGGTTGAGGTCACAGACTACATCCGAGAGTGGGACTATGGCAACTATGAAGGCATCACATCACCAGAAATTCGCAAAATTAGAGCTGAACAGGGTCTGAAAGGGTCATGGGATATCTGGCAGGACGGTTGTCCTGGAGGAGAGTAAGTGACTGCCAAGTTGTTACTGGCTACCCTAGACTATTACCACGCATTACAGTGATCATCGTCTTGCCGGCTAACACTTTTTCACCAGGAGTCCTCACGATGTCACTCGAAGGCTTGACCAATTGATAGAGGAGATTCGAGAGAAATGGCATAAGCCAGCTATGGACGTTGGCAGTGATCAGTGTGGTGATGTCTTACTTGTTGCTCACGGTCACATTCTACGTGCCTTCGCGATGAGATGGGCAGGTTACGCATTGCGAGAAGGGCCAACTTTCTTACTGGAGGCAGGCGGTGTTGGAACCCTTAGGTATGTTGTGATTGCCCTCCTTCTTTGCTGTGCAGCTATTGACAATATCCAAGCTATGAGCATCACAGAATCGAAGAGCCAGCTCTTCTCCTTGGCGGCGCATTCGTGGTTGAATTTGACAACCAAGATGCCTAGCCTGAATTATGTACGCCAGATATTTCAATCAAACATACAAATGCACAGTGGAATCTCAGATCATCGACTTGATTAATTAATGATATGTCCTAAGTGACGCTGACCATCGACACCTAAGCTAAGGGCCCCCTAGTCCAGAGGTGGTAATTCATAATCTCCCGACAATCAGACCCCAAGATGATGTTATATCTGTCACTACTCTTTGCTGAGTACACGACCAACACATGTTTCAATAATCGAAGCTGACCTCGCACAGACAGCGTCAGGTCTCATAACATAGTGCATAGCTATCGACGCACTCCACGGAAATGAATAAACCTCCGTTCGGTGACACCGGCGTCAACAAACAAGTATGTTTCACCCCTGTTTACCAAATTAACGCAAATGCCTCTTGTGAGAGACAAAGACCAAAGGGGGTGCACAAGGGCACCGTACTCCGGACAGTACAGCATGCGACGCCACATCTAAGGACTTAGTTGACTTCAAGTATGGACGTCCTGGAAGTGCGGATGAGGCTGAATAGAGCGCAACTCACATGATATCCCTTTTCCGCCTCCTAGACACGGGACCGCGCCGCCCCGGACACGCCATTGCCTCCCTTGTTTGGTTTTCAGCTCGACAGCGTCATTGCCAATTTCTCAAAGTGTAGACCGACGCTATCGAGTAATGCGCCAAGCATCGTCTACTTCATCCCTTGACAACAAAGAAGGCTTGGCCGATGCCAGATGAAGAATGTACCTGTCGGCCGCACCCATCAGGACAAGGCTTTCGTTGGCCGAAAGGGCGGGACGGGACGGTCCAGATGAGAAGAAGGGTGTGAGCAAGTCCGAGAAGGGAGGTCACTTATTCGGACACGGAAGCAAGGGCTGTGTTGCGTACGCCGGACTAGTGATAGGTAGTCTTTGGGTATAAATGGCTGCTTTAAAAAGGTTTGACCAGATCGCTGGGTCCTACGGGCCGTTTCTGGATTGCAACTGGGCTTGCCGTGTGAGATTGAGTGTCGATATTCATTCCAGTGCCAGATGGATGATGTAGTGTTTGTATTTGAGAAAAGAGCTACCCTGGACAAACAGGTTCCAACACCACACACCAACAATTCAGTTGAATACTGTAATCTGTAAAACAATTGCCACTATAATCCCGTACCACAAAGACAATTCATCAAATTGAATTTAGCCCTTGCATGTCACCTCTGAAATTATGAAGATCTACATATGATACAGCTAGCAGCTTAGGTAGTAACCTGGCTTAGTGTGGAATCTCGATTCTTTCACAGTCTAAAGGGTAACTGCAATTAGTTGAATTAGCGATTTAGCTTCATAATATTATGACTACTTCTCTTTCTATACAACTAAAGCCCCCATGTATCAGAGAAGCAGATATGTACACAGTCCTTCAGAGCTTTGTTCCCCGGGCGATAAAGACTCTCTTGGTCATGGACAACCTCTTATTCTCTCCGTGGCCGTGGCCATGATTATGGCTGTGCTTGTCATGATCATGGCTATCTGCATGGTTGTGACTATGACCCTGGTGGTGTCTATGCTGCGTCTCTCCTCTTGGATCCTTGAACGTAATAGGTTCCGGAAGTTCTTGGTAGCCAAAGTCGGTAAGCCCAGCGTTCTCGAACATCTGCTTAATCTCATCTTCCACAAATCCATGGTGTGTGATACCACGGTGGGCAGCATCCTCAGGGTCTATCTTGTGAGCGACAAAATCAATGATAAAGAGTACACCGCCGGTCTTGACACGTTCAGCCAGTCTCTTAGACGCCAGGTCAGGCTTGTCAAAATGGTGGAATCCGAGTCCCACGCCGGCAACATCAAAATCAAAGAACTTGGCATCCGCAAAGGCCGTAGGAGAGGCATCTGCAGGATCAGCCAGGTTGCCTTGATAGGCTTGCCTAGGGGTACCCTGCACGTCGTTTAGAAAGGTTAGCCATGTTCGAAGGCACCATAGCACTGCTACAGTAGGTCTACGCCTTGTTTGGCGTTGGGTAATACTAACCTGGTCTTGAGCTTGTGCGTTATACACGTCAACCATATCCTGAGTAAGGTCAATGCCGATGGCCTCGCTCGTATGTTGCGCTAACACCTGCGACTTGCCGTCAGCTCCCGTCAAGTGTCTTGCAAGTCATGCCAACAAGAGGGAAAAGCACCAACCCGTGAAAGCATGCCAGTACCGCATGCGTAGTCTAACAACCTGACACCTTCACCTTGTTTGATGCCAATGAAAGGAATCCGTTCATTGATATAACGCTCCAATTGCACGATCGCATCCGCATTGCGTTGGTCGTACTCACTGGCGATCTTACTGTGTGATGACACCACATTAGCAACGGAATTGACTGAACTGGGTAGTACAACAGCGAGCGCATGCTGTAGGCAAATAGTATGGGAAGTGACAGCCATGAAGCACAGGAAAAGGACGTATATGTGCGTGCTGATCATAGATCCAACACTCGACAGGGACGTCAACGCACCCAAAGTAAGCCTGATTTTCAGATACAGCACCAGCCATGGTTGCAAGGTCGGGGCTGGAACCAAATGAAACAACGAACAAGTTGTACAAGAGAAGGGACAGACACAGTCGCATGGAACAAACAAGTGCTTGCTGAGGGTCAGATTGCGGTTTCACAGAATCGAATTGAGTGAATTTTGTGCGAGACAAACTTCTGTCGACTGCTCAATTTGGCCGTTTTATATGACATGTAACGGGGACTTTTCGGACAGTTAAGTTTGTGTCGCAGACTTAACGTTCGCAGACTTAAAACTCGCAGACATTTGACGATATCTCCGGAATGTCGGCGACAGAAGAAAAAGAAAAAGACCCCGCACTTGAGAGTGAATACCAGCACTGTACCTTAGTAGTTTGTCCCCTTGCCGCATGGAAACACAGGAGCTCTATGACGAGCAAACAACGCGACTCTCTTGTTGCCTTGCGGTATAATGCCCTGGCTATGTGGTAGTTGCTTAGCTGTACTTGTTGATACGGCCACGACATTATTCTTACGCGATAAGCCTTGGTTAATTACTACTCTTTCGAGTTTGAGAAAGAGCCATGCGAGGTCATCAATATGGCATCTTTTCCATCTTACATGGTGCTCAGGGTGCATCTGGTGGGTAATGTCTTCCCAGGGCTCGAATTGAACACCAGTCAACCACACAAAGTCCTTCCAACAACCTTGACAGCCAACGTGGCCGCCATGGGCACGTCGTACGAAACGAATTTGAGTGGGCTGAATAGGGTCTGGTACTCTGGGTCTGGGTCTGGGTCTGGGTCTGGGTACAGTACACATGTTGTGTTGTTTGTCCAAATCAGGATTGAATTGTGGACGATCCATGATGTGTGATCCGTGATCCTGCGGCTGCACGAGCGCACCGGTCCGCCAACCGCGCATTGACGGGACGATACGATGCGATACGATGCGGAACGGGAGAGTACATATCCTTGTACATACACGACAGTCGCAGAGCATGTTAACCGTAGGAATTATCCATCCCAATCCTGATCCTGATATTCCTCCGTTTGTGCACACAACAACAAGGTGTCGTCGCATGGCCTGGGCTGCCAGGGCAGGGCCATGCATCCACCTAACCAACAAGTGGTACGAGATGGCATCCCGCTTTGTGAGCTTTGGCATGCACAGAGCCCAAAAAGAAGAAAGGGCGGGGGTTTCACATCACTCAACGCTGATCTTTGAGCCTGCAAGGGATGATACAATCCCGCAGCGGTTTCCTTGCTATCTTGCTTGGTGCATCTGTGAATGAATACTATGCAGATCTACCTACTGCCTGTGGCCAGCCGGTAGTTCTTTCGTCGGGGCACGGGACTTGGGCCTCTGTTTGTATGAGTGTGCCGAAAGTTCAACGAGGCTGGTGCATCCGCTCGACTAGGATTTGGAGCGGTCGCAATGCAAGCGAACGGAAATGATGATCTCTGCAGGAGAAAAAAGCCAACGTCGGATGGGTGCATTGCACCAGATTCAGATCTTCCTCCTCACCGCCTAAACGCTGTGGAGGACACAAACTCGGTGTTGCGGCCCTGCCGCTTCATCATCTAATGCATTCTCCGGGAGAGCCAGGACTCATATTATCTCAGGTAGTAGGCGGATAGCCTCTTATATAGGGCGTTCAAATTATATTTCGACATTCATTGAGCCATCGTGGTCTCGGTGCCGCCATCAATTGGGCCCCGCTAAGTACCTCTGTACGCATCGTGCACGAATGGGCAAAGGTACTTATTCTGCTACCCTGTCAAGCTTGTTGGGACAAGCAGTTGCGGGATCAGACCCAGGACAAAGAACATAACAAGAAATGCGAGGCTTGATTGTCACAGTCACACTCACTGGAGCAAGACTGCAAGTCAAGAATGAATGAGTTGGGGCGTGTTTTCTCGCAGGGGACCCCGTTTCATGATACAATAGCACTCCAGGCCAGGTCAACGCGCATTCTTCAGCCTGCAGGTCGCCGTGCATGCAGACGAGGTCTCGTGGTGTCAGAGTACCCGTACAAAATTATTCGCTTGCTTTTTGCAGTGCTGTACGGATATCTTGAGGCCAGTCTCATGTCACACACATCCAGGGGTGACGCAATACAATATCTGAAGCATTGTATTTCTGTAGGGTCTTGCCTTTATCGCGTTCGATGGTAACAGCATGGTTGACATTGGCGTGTCTCTCTTTAGAGGACAAGGTCAAAGTAGAGCGACAAGAGGCTGGCTGACTGTGGGTTTCGATTCCAAAGATGGAAAAGGGATCGGTTCCTGCGCCCCTGTTACGAAATCCACACTGTGATTATTGTACGGATACCATGTTGTTGGCGGTGCAGGATGACATGCAGCCCCGGGATGGCGCGAAGCGAGCAGCAACCAGCAACCAGCGACCGTGCCGCGCCGTGAAATTGCGACGTGGCAAGGCTTTGATGGATGGATGCAGCTCCAAATGTCGACCCTCGCGTTCTTCTTTCTTTTTCCCTCTGCAGGCTTCAAGATTCCTCCAATGCGTTTGTTTTTTCTTTGCTGCGTGGGAAGCCAGACATCTGGGACGGTCCCACTCCCCCCCCCTCCCTCTTGTAGAGGGAAAAAGAAACGAAAGCTGACTGATCGCCTTATTCTAACACACCCCTGGGCTCCCTACCCCCCTCTTTTATGATGTTGCAGGTCAGTAAGCAATCAAATCCTTGACACGGTAGCCTCGTCTGTCTCATTAAGGTATGGCGGCCCGATCATTAAAGCCACGGCGCCCGAGTAAAACTGGGACAATGTACGGGAGACATGCAGTCTACCCGAACTCACAGGGGTCTTCCGCATAAGTCTCAGCTCACGTGACTGCAAGTCGACGTGTGCGATTGGCGGACCGGGCCTTGCCTGAGCCAGGCCAGTGGAGGTGGATCCCTGAGATGGAGTATGGAGTCGAAAGTGTGACAAGCGAGGATGGCGGCAGCTTATGATGCAAGCTTCCGCGTCAACGCTGGCACCAGTCCGAAGAATTTGAGACACCATGGGCGGTATTGTGAACAGTATCCGTAATCTCTGGAGAAGTACCACTGGAACATTGAGAATGTCGGTGTGGTAGAATCAATGCTGGTTGTATTGCTTTTTGGCTGTGGCTGCAATAGTATTCAGTCCTAATATCGTGTTGCATCAATTTTTGTCGCCCCTGTATGTTCCTGTTTCATACGGAGTACGGATACGGAGTACAGTACATCGAAATGCAGCACGGCGCGGCATAGCGACTGTCTCAGCTGTTGGCTCTCTGTTTGTTCCCATTGAGAGATGATTCGCTGCCGCTGTCAGCAAATGCTAACACGTTGTCTTGGCCTACCTGTATGGCTGACCAAGCATCGATGGCGACCTGATATCCTACACCGGCAGAAGCTGTTGGCGGTCGACTCCTTTCTTCCTTGTGTCCCAGACTTCTTGGTCACCTCAGTAGCGAGGGCGTTGGTTTCGTTGCTGGCAGGGATCGTGGTATTTCCTATCTCAAACTATACCCTCACTGCCCTAAATGTCCATAATTGAGTGCGTATAGTGATTCCCTTCCATGGCTTAAGAGGAAGTACGAGTCTGCACCTAGCGGCCTAGTCTGTTCGTTTTTTTGTTTTTTTTTTGGCCAGTTGGCAGCGCTGGGTGCTCAGCCTTACAACAAGATGATCGATTTTGAGAAAGGTGGGCTGATTTGCAAAGAATGTCTAAAAGAAAAAGCAACTGTCAAATGATACAATATAGGGGGATTCAAGCCACTTATCCAGGGGCAGAGAGTCATGGTGAATGGTAGCAGCAGGGGCTGGGTGGAAGAATAAGGATGAAGATGAATACTTATTACCAACCCAGCGAGCGATTGACGGCATGAGGATGTACGACTTGGTATTTTATACCTTAGGCATGAATGTTGCAGAATGTTCTAAAAGTCCCCACTAGAAGGGACGAAGCAAAGCAGCTTACAGAGTGCCTCTACAATAGGTGGGTGCCGATTGTTCGACGAATCCAGGCTGGCAGTTGGCGCCGAAATCAAACGTGCTTGCCCGGTTGGTCAGTCGCCTCTGCCTTCAATTTAGCAGGTGCGATTATCATGCTGGACTTTTGCCCACCTACTTACCTACCTCTCAAGCTGACAACTTCAACAGAGCCTCTCGTGATTACTAAAGTGTTGAAAAGGGTTTCTTGCCTTGAACGGTTCTTTGTTGCATCAACAACGAATTTACAGAGATTCTCAACTCTCGATCGGGCGTCCTTGGACGTGTTCACCAACCAGCTTTGTCATCGCGTGTCCACTTGTGCAACCTTTCGACGCCTTTGTCCCTGCAGCTTGCTCAGGTCATGTGAGCATCACCCAGGGTCATAGTTATTGCGTGTATCACATATCAAATCAACCGGCCGGTAATCGGCGATATGTTGTCATGGAACTCTTTGGAGATATCTCAGTTCAAGTGGCTGCCATTCAAATTGCTGTGTTTGATCAATGGTCTTGGTCCTATCAGCTATCATATGAACAGAAGGAAGCTCGATTACCTGGCTGAATGCAAGGGCAAGGCTCTGCATGATCTGATAGGTCAGTTTACTCGGTATTGCGTCCTGCAAATCAAGCCATTACGCTCTACAGGGGAGGGGTCATGTAGCTCCGCTTGTTTGTGATGTGCCGGGACCTTGACACTCCGCACCACTAGCCCTCCTGATGGGTTGAGACATGCGCTTCCGAAGGCGTCGACAACACGGTACAATCGAGTTGCGAACCTGGGGTCTGAGAAGTCATACGGATGTGCACAGCGCAGTCTTCTTCAAGGCATCGGTGTACAAGTCTCGGTTAAATGCACACACACAACATTCCATGTCGCCTGAATCCAGCCCACCACATGCTTGCTATAGGCTCAACATCAAGTCTGGAAGGTCGACATGCGATGAAACGACGAAATTACAATGCAGCCATCGATGCTCAACACCCAATGCCCCCTATACAGCACATTCGTAGCCAAGCTTTGCCAGGTCAGCGATTGATCAATTTTATCGCCACGCCTGGCGCC